GTGATTGAATGACCTTGGATGGATGATGATGGTCAACGGATGTACTCATGCAATAATTGTCAAGGGACCTAAGTTAGTTGACAATGGTTGAGATATCATAGTTGAATGGCGGTCAGATGAATATAGTTAGACAACATTAATGATTAGAGAACTATACCTAGGAGATGGTGGATGAAGGATTGTATGAGGGAGATGGTGGTCAGATGATTGTGGTCTAGGTCAGATGAATATAGTCAGACAACAATGATTAGAGAACTATACCTAGGAGATGGTGGATGAAGGATTGTATGAGGGAGATGGTGGTCAGATGATCGTGGTCTAGTGATGGCCATTGAACGACAATAGTTATGTGATAATGATCATATGAATGTGGTAGGGCGATGGTTAGGATAATACCATCTTCAATTGATAGTGGTTGGAGGATTGTAATTCGGCGACAATGATCAGAAAATCATAGTTAGGTGATGGTAGTTAGTAGATTATAATCGTGTGATGGTGATTAAATGAGTGCAGTTAAACAATGGTGGTTAAAATACCACATTCATAAATTTTAGTTTTTTATAATGATTGATATCTCATCTAATTTGGTCACATGATAGACAGAATGTCATACCTCTAGAAAATTTATTGAGCAAATGACTGATTTCTCTTTATGTTAATACTTTTTTAAGCTGAGTAGATTTATTAACCATTACATATGAAGCATGAATAACTTTTATAATATTGAATAACTATTAAATTAAAAATATATGTTCACACCTATGTGAAGTTTATAAAATAAAACCCTAACGAATTACAATATTATAAAAGAGAAAAGCTGCTTCGTGGTGGATTTCTCTCCACATGATGCATGGATAAGGCATTTGTATATATATAATAAATTAACTCAAATGAATCAATTACTTGAAAGATAATGATAAAAATGTTTTCTAATAAGGTTCAATATGGTTTGAACCTTGTTCAAACATTATTCAAACCTTCTTTGAACCATATTTACAATTTACGATTTAATGTCTGCACGAGGCTAAGGATCAAACATTTGGTTCAAATAAAATAAATTTATGCTTCAAAGTATATTCGAACAAGGATCAAAACTCCTATTACAAGTTCTTTCCTCATTGAAAATTTCATCAAGCTCAGTTTCAAATTTAGGCTTCGTTTGGGATGATTTTTTTACTGCTTCTTAAAGCAATTTTTTAGTACAATTTTTTTTTTAAATTTTGAATTAAAAAATAACTTTAAGAAGTAATAAAAAAGCAGACCCAAACGAAACCTTAGTGGTCAAATTTTAGCTTCAAAATAAAATTTCCATTCTTTTTCAAACAAGTATCATGATCATTTTCTAAGCAAATGTTATTGTTTCATATCATTTATATTATAACCTATGTTTACTAATATTGGAATGGACAATGAATGCATTCTAACATAAATAACATAAAAATATATTCTTATATGACCTTGAACATAAATTGAGTTAACTATGAAGCACTTTGAGATTATGATGGATGTGCTTGGAAGATAGACATCAAAGTAGTTTGCTTGTTCAAACATTCATCAGATTATAAGAGACTATGACTCATATTTCTATCATAAAGATCCATAAGGATCATAAATAAAAGATGTATAAAGATTATCATGAATAATTTAAACCTGGGTATCCCTAAGACCACTAAATAAGTTAGAGAGTTGCATGGCAGAAAAAATGTGGCTGCCCCCACGAAGGAAACAAAGTATTGCATTAGCTACTGCAGGGGTCAACAAAGGATGTAAGCTCCATAAATCAAATACGCATATGGTCAATAAGTAGAATTAGAAAAAATAGTATAATTAGAGGGACAAAGTTGCTATGAGTACTCACCATCAACGAGGAACAAATCCACTCATATATCCTAAGGTGACATCATTAGTATGCTTCATCACCATACGATCAAATTGAATAACTAAGAAATCCCTTATGGATATAGCATAATTATATCATATGAACTCATCTATATTCTAGTCTATACTAATGAGCCTCTTTGGAATTTTATATTATTATTGAGAAAAAATAAATCTGGACAACATAAATTTGATTTATATATTTACAATAATGATAGGGGGCTTGATATGTCAATGCTCTTTATTTCTTTTTTAATAGCTATTCCAATATAATTTGTTAGTGTCGTAATTAGTTTTCCAGTATATCAAATCAGTGAATCACCCCTATTTGGCAAACAAATCATTAGAACCACTTTATTTGCGATAAATGGTTGCTCATACCGCCGATTAGCCGCCTCTCCCGAGAGACACGCCAGAACCGCTGAGGCTGTACCGGGAGGAGAAGCTCCAGCACATACGAGGAGATGACGTGAGCCGGCAGCTGGCTCGGCAACCCGGATCTAATCTCTGGCGGCCTCCGTCGGCCCGTTCTTCTTCGCCTACGTCGGCTTCGACGCCGTCTCCACAATGGCGGAAGAGACTAAGAATCCGGCCAAGGATATACTGATTGGACTCGTCAGCGCCATGTCGATCACCACTTCCTGTTTCTGCCTCCTAGCTTTGGTTCTCTGTTTGATGCAGCCGTACACCAAAATCGATCCCGACGCTCCCTTCTCGGTGGCGTTCTCCAATGTCGGCCTGCATGATACTAGGAGCATTGCACTTCGCGCCCTTACTCGCTTATCGGTCGTCATTCTGCTCACATGATCACCTATCGCCATGTTTCTTCTCGCAAGAATGCAGCAGATAAGCCACCGTTCTTCTTGTCAAGTTGGACCGGGATGTATGCCGTGAATCTCCCAAAATAGAGCGACAATCTCTCATCCCTCCAGATAATTGATCTTTCAATCAATTCAATTTCTTGTACCATCCCGCTTTCTGTTGGAGGTGCAGACGTGCAGTTCGACACTCCTCAGGAGTTCCAACACCAACTTTCCATCTGGTGGCTTTGAGCGATTGATTTGAATTTGTAGGAGAAGGTAGAGTAGCTGAGTCCGTGGCCGAATTTGAAGATTGGATTGCCATTGTAGAAGCGGTAGGTTTTCCCTGGGTACCCTGAAGCTGGATCTGCTCTCATCCTCATGTCAGTCATGACAACTCTGATGAAATCTTGTGGATACCAAGTGAGCGGTAGCCTTCCTCCTGGATTATGTTCGTCGAGGAGAACCTCAGCAATTGCCAATCCACCACGTTTCCATCTCTTTGCTCTCATGCTTCTGTGCGAATGCCCTAAGCCCAACGTTTTTATCTCAAAGCCTGCTCCATCGGCCTCTATACTTGAGCCTATGCTCGGTTATCAGATCTGAATTATGATCGCAAGATATTTGATGAATTGCCGACTGGATTGTTGTGTCTTAAGACGGCTTTGATTTCTGGTTATGCTCGAGTAGGAAGGGTAGGGAACCAACCATTACTTTTGTGAAGGCTCCTCCAATAGAACCAATTGAAAGGGCGCTCAGTATTTTTCGCGGTATGTTCGCTCCCAAGGGAATTCAGGTTTCTAATCCATTACAGGTTATTTGCACTCGTTGGGGAGTAGATAAGTTCACATATAGATCATATTCTTATGTGGTTGTTGGATCTTCTGGTGTTGATTATGATATTTTGGCAAAGAGCATCGGCAATGGTAGAGTATTCTTGGCTGGAGAGGAAACAAACAAGATGTATCCTGCTACAATGCAGGGAGCTCTCCTCAGTAGTTTCAAGAAAGTCAAACATATCTAGAGCAGCTGTGAAATTCAAGGTGTAGAATGGTGGACAAAACCAAGGTGGAGGAAGCCTTGGATTTGGATAATTTATTTTAAGTATTCACAATTTTGACCACGACTCATCTCCAGCCTTCGCTCGAATCCGTGTGTTCCATCCCGACTCCATCACCTGCTTGGTTTTCTTCGTACCGGAGGAGAATGATGCGGAGCATATTAGTTAAAATACTCCTTAGGCATATGATATTTAGTTTGTTATAAGAATTCTAGAATGTTCTTGCTTTATCTAGATTTCTTTTGCTAGCTTATAAATATAGGATTTGTAAGAGGGAAGTGATATGAATGAATATTTTTGGATTTTTGAACAGCTTGGCTGTTTTTTGGTCTCTTAGGGCTGTTTAGCCCTTCTTCTTCTTCCCCATCATGCTTCTTTGGTGATTCTCCCCACATCAGGATGTAAGCTCCATAAATCAAATACGCATATGGTCAATAAGTAGAATTAGAAAAAAACAGTATAATTAGAGGGACAAAGTTGCTATGAGTACTCACCATCAACGAGGAACAAATCCACTCATATATCATAAGGTGACATCATTAGTATGCTTCATCACCATACGATCAAATTGAATAACTAAGAAATCCCTAATGGATATAGCATAATTATATCATATGAACTCATCTATATTCTAGTCTATACTAACGAGCCTCTTTGGAATTTTATATTATTATTGAGAAAAAATAAATCTGGACAACATAAATTTGATTTATATATTTACAATAATGATAGCGGGCTTGATATGTCAATGCTCTTTATTTCTTTTTTAATAGCTATTCCAATATAATTTGTTAGTGTCTTGATTAGTTTTCCAGTATATCAAATCAGTGAATCACTAAAAAAAAAAAAAATATCAGTGAATCACCCCTATTTGGCAAACAAATCATTAGAACCACTTTATTTGCGATAAATGGTTGCTCATACCCTTTGATTATAAATGCTTGTTTTTTTTTATTATAAATGCTTGTTTGGGCACATCCTAACACGACAACAATTTGTAGATTAGATGTCTATTTTATTGAAATGGAGGAAACTCTTTAAATTGAAATATATTTAACATATTCAAAACGTCCTCCACTTCTTCGCATAATATCCCTTCAAAGAGTCACAGACAGCTCTAAATGTTGAGGGTCTGGAATATAAATTAACCTTTGGGATGTACATCTACAACAAGAAAACATTATAATATTCATTAATTTGTCTTATATATGCAAAAACTGTAGAAGATTGCATAATAATTTTTAGCATATATAATTTAAAAAGAGGGTTAGCCAAGCAACTGAGCAAGCCAACCCAATAGCATTCATAAATTATGTCGGCCATATGTCCATATAATCATACAACATCCATCAATTAAAAGATGTACGTGACATGCATAGCCAACCGACCCTTTTTTAATTTTTAGTAAATATAAGGGTACATAGTTGTACAAAATATTTATATGGCTACAAAAAGCTTGTATGCAGCGTGTACAAAGAGCTTGTACACACTATGTATAATAATAAGTATTTTGAACAAGATAAAAAAATATTTTAAAGAATCATTTCAAGTGAAATTTAAAAAATGTCTTCATCATAAGATAGATAGTATACTTTTTTATTATAATAATTTTTTTTTTTGTAATTTCTAAGCATGGTGTAAATCATTAAGAAGTTGACACATGTATTTTCTATAAATCCTTATGAAATTGACACATGGTGTAAATCCATAATAAATTTTTCATAATTTTTGAGCTTTTGTACATTCATAAAATGATAAATAAATAATTCTTTCAAATTTAATTTTGAGTATCAAACAGTGCACAATAGCTTGTACATAGTGTGTACAAGAGCTTGTATATAGTGCACAAGAGCTTGTGTATACTATTTACAACATGTCTAGATTTGCCTTATACATAAACTGTGGAAGTTTATAAATTTTTTTTTTTACTCCCCATATTTATACCATTGGATTTAATGTAATATAAAATAAAACAACATATTAATAACACAACAATATAATCATTTATACTTAATTCAACATTTGTTATTTTAATATTTTGATTGATATTTTCATTCTTCTCATCATCAAACGCATTCATCAATTTTTCTATTTTTAATCTTTTGCTATGTTTTTCTATTATCCATCCATTATTATAAAATATATCATTGTGCTAATTATAAGCTTGTACACATTGTATACGAGAGATCTAAATTTGCCTTATACATAAATTGTACATACAAGCAAAATTACAAATAAGAAATTATTCTGTGCAGAGTCAAAATTGTAAATATAAGTTCAATTGTAAAACAAGAGATCATAAAACAGGTGTATGAAAACTCTATGTCTTGACTCTGCACAGAATAATTTCTCCAGTCATAAAGAAACCCAAAACACTAAATACAGGTTCGTCTTTCATGCCATGTAAATGTTGAAATTGAAATAATTGAGAAATAAAAAATGATACATAAATTTAAATTTAAATCAAATAAAAAAAGATGTAAACTTGATTTGAAGCTTATAATAAACCCTAAACAATAAACAGGATGGAGAGAGTGATGACAAACTTTACGTTCTTGAAGATAAAGAGCGGTTTGTGACACGAACAATCATTGTTCAAAGATAAAAAAATGACATTATGAATGCAAATCCCTAAAACTTCTGTCCGCACGATTCCAGAATTGAATGCGACACATCAACTTCATTTTTTTCAAAATATTACCTCATGATCGGGTCAGGTTATATGTCACCCATTAAAAAAAAATCAAGTGACTCGAAAAAAATAAATTCAACCAAAAATTACATATCAACAACATATTAAAATCTGAACATAGCTCTACATACCAGCTCCAGAGCAAAGCCCTACATGGGGTCCTGGTTGGGTACCATGCTTTACTCGGGGCTTCGCCCACCCACACCCACCCATGGTGACTTTCGGGATGCCGTACCGACCTATATCCACCCACTTTCCATGCTTTTTGAACACAGTTCGCCCTTGTTTCCCTTTGCAATGCTTGCAAACTTTCAAGCCGTATATTAGAATTTACCATAGTCGCAGCGTGGTTAAATATTGCACATTAAGTAGTGAGGATTGTAGTAATATAAGATATATGGTGATTATCAATATAAATCGTTTTATTCCCGATGTTGAGTACCAACTCATACCCATCCACAAGATCATGAGCATACCTATACCCACCCATACCCATTGGATAATAGATAAGTACATAGATGAATATGAGTGTGAATATGAGTACCACTATTCCACAGAGAATAATTTATTCTCAAACAAAGCCTAAATCAGTCCTAAATCAAGCCTTAATTAGAATGCAAAAGATCAATCTATACGGGATTTTATATAAATGACCCTTAAAATTTATCACAGTTTCTAAGCACTTTCTTGCGCGAGGGTTCGCTTCTCTAATCTCTACCAGAGTACCCTTCGGATTGCCCGTTGGCGTATCAGACCCAGGGCTTGTTTTCGATCCTAGACGGGGCGATGGGCGACAGTCAGTACTCTTTCTCTCTCACTACCTTCAGGTGCAGATCTTTGCGTTTTGCGCACTCTCCTCCTCTTCGCAACCGCCCACCATATTTTTTAGCTTTTTTACCTCTTTCTTCTTTTCTTCTTCTTCTTCTTCAGTCCTTCAGGGAAGCTGGTACAGATAGAGCATGCTCTGATGGCCGTGGGATCTGGTCAGACCTCTTTAGGGATCAAAGGTACCTCTTATATTTCCCGATCACCTTACTCCATTATTGTTTCTGGATCACAAGTTTGTTCCTTTTGAAGCAGAGTTTATTTTTTGTAAGATTGCCGTGCTATTTTTGTTAGTATATTCAAATGTTTGACGTATGATCAGAGGTCTTCTTAACGTGAGAGATTCAGTTGGTGGGAGGAGCCCTGTGTAATCTAAAGCTTTAAGGTCGGGAATCGGAAAAGAAAAAAAGGGATGGAATACAATTTTGCATGTGAATTTCTGGAATGTTGCAAAACCTTATTTTAATGGAGCTTTTGGTGGCAGATAGATCATCTATAACTGACATCTAGGCTTTATTTGCTTCATTGATGAATTTGTTCCGCTATATTTCATTGACTAGCTTATCTGCTCTATTTTCTGGTATTCCCCCTAGATTGAAACCATTAATTTTGTGTTTTAGGACCGAGTTATAACTTACAAGTTCTTGTGATTAGGAAAAGAAAATTAACTTCATAATGCAACAGTTCAAGCTTGTTTAGATGGATGGTAATGCCAGTACCTAAAGTTTATATTTCTTAGTTTAAATAAAAAAAATATGGTTGAAAATTGATAACTTGGGTAAATCAGGATTTAGTAGGAGGTTCAATTACTTAACTAATAGCTTTTCATCATCATGTAATTAGAAACCTTGGTGAAAATTTTCTTTTTTTATTTTGGTTTAGTGGTTGGTTCTTAAAGTTACTACTCATGGACAGCAGATCGAATTGCTAGCTATGTTGCAGTGCCTTAGGCAAAATGAGTATTGTTAGTTTCACATTCCTCTTATAATTGGTAGATGGCAACATAGATCAGGCATTTTTATTACAAGGGGTATATATGATTATTTTTTTGCACGACGCTATCAATAAGATTAATTAGTGTATGCTTTTAGAATTTATATCAAAGTTAACTTTGGACAGTTAGGTGTTGTGATTTTCAAATCATTGCATCATTACAAGTTACAACTACATTACATGCTACAACTACAAAAAAATAAATTTCTACTTCGCTTGCAATGGAGTTATGTTGTTCTTGGTACTCCATTGGCCAGATTGATTTTGAAAAAAAAAAAACTTAAGCTTATGTCGAGGGCCAACCACTAGTATATATTTTGCTAGAGTTCCACACGAGAAGCAATTAAAACAATGATATAGTGAAGAAAGCATATATATCAAAGGAATTAAATTAAGTTTGTAAAGATAGCAAACTCAATCATCAAATTCAGATAAAAACAAAGAAGCTTAAAGTGATTTGATACACACTTAGTCAGAAAGCTTTTGTTTGATACTTTTTAATACATACTGTCTTCTATTATTTTATATCATGATTTTATTGACTCTTGTTGAGATTACTGCAGCTGCAAATGGTGTTGTTATTGCAACTGAGAAGAAGCTGCCTTCAATTTTAGTGGATGAAGCATCCGTAAGCATACAATTATGTCCATTGTCGGATAATTGCTACTTTTTTATTTACTTCTAGCTGTTTGCTCTGTGTTCAAACTATAGTTGGAGTCATAGAATGATTCTGCATATTGTTCTTTATTTGACTATTCAACTTGGTTTCCAGTTATGCCACCTGGAAGGGAAATCATTGTTAATTTTAGCGTTTTGTGCGGAAAGTTGATTATTGATTTTCCATTAAATAAATTATCTTTTGAGAAGCGTGTATGTTTGTATTTATTTTTTAAGTTGCTATTGTGCTGCAAAGTTATTCTTATTCTTTTTTTTTAAACTTTATAGTATTTCTATAAGATGGTAGTGAGGCCTGCAATGCTTTATGGTGCCGAATGTTGGCCATTAAAAGAGAAGCATAATACTAAGTTAAGTGTGGCAGAGATGAGAATGCTCAGGTGGATGAGTGGCTTTACCCTTAGAGATAGGATACGAAATGAGCATATACGTGAAAAGGTTGGAGTAGCTCCAGTAGAAGATAAAATTAGAGAGAGTCGCCTTAGATGGTTTGGTCACATAAAACGACGGCCTTTCGATGACCCGGTTAGGAGAGTAGAGGTATTAGATTTGACTTATGTTAAGAAAGGTAGGGGTAGACCTAAAAAGACTTGGTTAGAAAATATTAGGAATGACCTTTCTTTATTAGGTTTAAATGAGAATTTGACTTTTAATAGAACACAATGGAGAAAAAGGATTCATGTAGCCGACCCCACGTAGTGGGATAAAGGCTTGATGTTGTTGTTGTTGTTGTATAGTATTTCTTGTTCTATCATTATATATTGTTTTTGAAATGCAATGTGGAAAAAGTAAAAGATAAAGAATTAACTAAAATTTTGTAAAAATTCAAACTTGAATATCTACTTTAGACATCCTAAGCAATATCGCTCAATCCAATGATTGATGGTTAAAAATACCAATCAGACTTTCCATATATCCCCTCATTTGTGGAGCCCATGCATGCAGTTGGCCCTTATGACCCAAGTGAGGAAGGTTGAGGTTAGGTTGAGATTCAATCATTAATGGATGCCAAAATCAATAATAGCATGTTCAAATTTAATGTTCTTAGTGCTAGGTCATTCCCTAAAAGTTATGCATCATTGCTAAACCCAATCATGATCAGAAGTGGGCAGGCTTTGCTAAGATGTTCCCTTACAAAGAACATGCCTCAGCTAAACCCAATCGTGCCAAGATAGTTGAAAGGTTTGGTTCGAACATCATCATGAAATATCATGCCACAACTTAACCCAATTTTGATTAAGCTATTGCATGTTTGGAAGATTAATAATGGGAAGATAATAGGGATAGAGTTGATAAGGAGTTGAAAGATAAACATATTGAAGTGAATGAATTCAGTGATAGAGTGAATGAAATTATGTTTGTTATTGGTGATAATATTATAAATATAGTCAGTGCTTATGCCCTTTTAGTTGGATTGAATTCGTGTTTGAAAAGCCAACTTTGATAAAAATGAATGGAATACATATAATTGATGATGGGGATATAATTATAAGTGGTAACTTAAATTGAGATTTGATTTCTATTAGGATGTTTTATGAAAGAATTCATGGTGAGACTGGAATAGAAATGCAAAAGTCAGTGGAGAAATTATATTTGATTTTGAAATATGATATGACCTTGAAATTGCGAACCCATATTTTAAGAGATGAGAACTTGTTACTTTTAAAAGTGGAGTGACCAAATCATAAATGGCCTTCTTTTACTTGCAAACAAAAAAAATATATTTTTCAAACATTAGAAGGTGTAACTTGATTAATAATTATAAATGAATATCTCAGTAGTATAAACAAAATAATTAAAAGAAATTATTGTTCTTGGGTAAGTTAGTATAACTTGAAAGGTGAGAAATAATTCAAGATATATTACTTGGATAGACATATTGGAATAAATTACTTTGCAAATAATATGAGGTAATTATACTTGAAATTCTCATCTCACAAAATTGATTAGTAATATAGATGTATATCTTAGTATTATAAATAACATAATTTTAAAAAATAATTGCTTTTGGTTATGTTGGTAGATCTTGAAAGGTGAGAAATAATTCAAGATATATTACTAAGATAGACAAATTATAATTTTACAGTTGAGCTAAACTTGGTTTGTGACAAGACGGCTAGTTTTATTTGAAAATTTTATTGTAGAATTTATGGAAAAGTCTAAAAATAAATCATACATAAGGAAAAGAGGTTTAGTGGAGTGAGGAGGTAGGAAATGTATAATAAAAAAGAAAATTGAGACATAAAGTGGTTCTATGTGATAGGCTAGATACTAAGGAAAAGGAAATTGAGACAAAGTAGTTTAGGCAATACATATGTGATTAGGGATCTTGATTATGTTATATGCATTAAAAGTGAACATAATCATAAGATTATGTTATATGCATTAGAAAGTGACCATAGTGAGATTTTAGTTTAATATCAAAGAAAGATGGAAATGTACTTAAAAAAATTATTGAATTAGAATTTTAACTAAATTTTTTTTGGAGGATCGTAATGTAAAATTAAAGTTGCATATTATAGATGAATCCTAATAAATAGAGTTGCATTACCATGCATAAAGGTGAAACTTTGGGTCTTGATGAGATACTAATAATGAAGTAGTATAATTGACAAAACTTTTTAATAAAATTTTGAAGATTAAGGGAATATTAAATGATTGGAGAAGAAATATTTTTAGTAGATCCAATCAAGAATAAAGGAGATGTTTAAAATTGTGATAATTATAGGAGAATCAAATTTAAAAATCCTACAATGAAGTTTTGTGAGAGAATAATAAAACATAGACTTAGAAAATTGCATCAATATTAAAGAATTTATTTTTATGTGTTGGAGATGCATTATGAACGCATTTTTTGTACCACGCAATTTAATGAGAGATTATAAAGAGCGAAGAGAAGATATTCATGTGGTTTTGTTCATTTTTGAAAGGTATACGATGAATAGCTCGAGAATTGATTTGATGTACATTATTGGAAAAACTGTGTTAAATATATCTTGATGTTATTTATGATATGTATGATGGAACATTGATTATGAATACCACGAGTTTTAGAAGTAATTGCTGATTGGCCAAAGGGTTCCTCATTGTAATGATCAACATTAAGCTTATAGTTTTTTATATTGGTTATAAATATGCTCACAAATGATATAAAAATTGAGGTAACTGGGTGCATGTTTTTTTGGAGATAACTTATTTCTAATCAATGAAATCATACTTGAAATTAGTGATAAGTTAAAACAATAGAAGTAATGCATAGAAAATAATTTGTTTATGATTATTAGAAGATAAAGTGATACTTAAATATATTAGGTTTAAGTATTTTAGATCTATAAATATAACTTTTGGAGTTATGATTTAGTTGTCAAAATGTATAAGTCTTTGAAGAGTATTATGCTGTAAGAGAATATCATATAGATTTAAATTTAAATTTTATAGAAATACAGTTAGGCTAGCTATGCTGTATAGATCTAGCTATTGGTCAACAATGAAGTAATTGATAAATAAATTAAACATGACAAAAATGAGGATGTTAAGAAGAATGTTTGGCGAAATTATAAATGATTGATTTAAAAATGATTATAACAAAGGGATCGTCGGAGTAATTAATGGTTTATGGCACATCAAGATGGGAGGAGAAAGGAGGAGGGGTGAATTGGGTGTATGCTTTTACATACATCAAAAATTTCTTATGAAGTTCTACAAATTCTACCCAAAACAACCTAATACAACGCACAATCTATATAACTAATTATACACAAATGATCTAAATAATATGTCAATCGAAATACTATACTATAATGAAGAGCATGACAACTTAACTAAATACAAAAAGTAGCATGGAAGTGTGTGAACCATGATATATAATCTATAATTTTTTTCTTCAGACCTATTGTACCATGATAGTTAAACAAATGTAGATGAATCACATTTTTTTTCACAGGTTGATTTCAAGAAAATTTTGATTTGAAGGAATGGTCTCTTCAAGTATCCTACAACAACAACAATAACAATATCAAGCCTTTGTCCCATTATGTGGGGTCGGCTACATGAATCCTTTTTTGCCATTGTGTCCGATTAAAAGTCAAATTCTCATTTAAATCTAATAAAGAAAGATCATTTCAAATGCATATTCTCTTCAAGTATCCTATTGGAATAAAAAAATACTATGAAAGTAAAAATGATTCAGAAGTTGAGGTTAATGAATGCTTTCATATTAATCACTTCTTGAGAAAGAAAAGCATAGATACAACTAAAACGAAGAGCTTCAGAAGTGCAACCATCCAGCAATACTCATGTGAAAGAACAACTTCAAGCAATGAAATTTCAAAGATTTTTTTAACCATTATATATGCAACATTTATCCATTAGCAAACGATGCTTTTTAATCAAGAAAAACCTTGCACAAAAGCTTCGAAGGACATTGTTAAAGTAACATTTTGTCAACTGAAGCTCCTCCCTCAAAAAACCTCTCGAATAACTATTTTTGTTGGTCTTAGTTATTGCTCCTCGCTTATTTATCCCCATCTGAAAAACCATAATCTCATAAGGAGTTTCACTTTAAGTAAGAGAAGGCACACTGGAGATTCAAAATAAGAGATAAAGCAAAAACATGGAATTGGCTACTTATCATGTGAAGAAGGTTGCAACATTAGAACTTTGTGGAGCCTTAAAGTCATGTATTATTGATTTTACTTTTCTTAGCTTATGTTCTTTTCTATTTCTCCGTGTCTCTATCAGAGCCATAAAATCCCATGCCTTTAATACAATTACTTTTGAAATTAGATGAAACATGCTTGGCTCAAATTTAGAAACAGTAGAAAACATTTTTTTCCTTGTTGACTGATGCTTACAAATTCTTTAGTCCTTTAAAATATCATATTATTATTCCTCTCCAAGACCAAAAAAATGCTCACTTGTTAATGAAAAACAAAAATATATAGATGATGATACATCTTCAATTAATGCATTTCATTTCTTCATATTGCAAAAGTCATGCAAAACTCCTAATTTCATGGTTTTTACCTAAGGACAAGGAATTTGAGAAACCAAGAGAAGAATAAATGTTTGTAACCTCATCAAAAGCAAGGAAGCGAAATTTAGAAATAGCTAAACTCCTTGATACACTCTTCGACCATTTTTCAAACATAATCAAGCAAAGAATGCAATGTCAAAACTTAAGAAAAGTCTCATGTAAGATCATATAAGGACAAAATAGAAGTAAGAAAATTGAAAGAGAGTAGGGAGATGTAGAATAATACCTCTATTGCTGCTTCAGGATGATTACAATTCTCCATGTTACAAGTAATTTTCACTCCTCTCACCTATGCTTACAAAGAACATAACTTCTATAGGGTGTCGAACTGTGGTGTCGTATTACTGCAAACTCTGTATATATAATTGTATCCGCTCCATTCCCCTCCTTCACTTTGATTAGTCTCTACTCTCTCCCCTCCATCGTTGTGACATTATTCCTTTCGTTGTTTCAGTTGCTCAACCACTTTCATGTGATCTTACAGCTCACCTGACCTGTTCCAATGATCAATCCATTATAAGAAAACAACCCCAAGTGGATTCCATCATTGCAATATCCTTGCCAGTGATTACTCCAGTTCTTAGATGTGATTGTTTTCATGTCGTGCATCCTCGCTACTCCCCCACCCTCTAGAAATGTTCTTAAATAGCTTGCATGACACCATTTTTCTAACGAGTCCCTGGAGACATCACTTCGACCTGGCATTGAAATCCATTTACTTCGTAAAGTGGAATTATCCTCGTAAGTTCTCGTGGCCCCCTTTTAGCAACTTTGATGATCACTTTCACCATTTTTCATACATAATCATTAAGGGTTTTTGATACTTCAAACGAGGATACATATGCGTGGCTTCTATGCTTTCTACCTTTCGTTCTTGCCCTCCATTATCTTGCTATGGCTCTGTCTCGCCATTAAACTCTTTTGTCTTGCTTTGATTTAATCTCTCTCTCTCTCTCTCATTAGCTTTCACTGTGGCTCTTTCTTGATCTTTCTTATTTTTGTTCTTTTTTTTTTAATTTTTAATTAAGATTGTTCTTATATGGAGGTTACTTGATTTTTTCGATTTCCTATTTTATTTTTGCAATCATCCAATCTTGTTTAAATGCTTATACTTGGCCTTAGTTGTGATCTAATTTACTTTTTTTTTTGCATTCTTTCATTTGCTAATTTGTGCATCCATGATATTTATTAAGGCTCTAGAGAATTGGTGTCTAAGGTAAGTGAGGTTGGGTGTCTAAGGCAAGTGAGGTTGGGTGATGCAAGGCCAACAAAATGGTTGCCTTAGTAGAGTTTTGGTAGCACCTTAGCTTAGCCGCCTAACATCATAGGTGAGTACCTTTTTTATCTTAACTGCTCGGTAAACCATGCTATTATTTTTATGTTTCCTCCATCCTTATATATATATATATATATATTATTTCTTTCTGACTTTCTTAATTTTCCAATCTAAGTAATTCTATTTCCTCAATCTCATTCATTGCAAAGAATAATTAGATAACTTGTTTCCAATCTTCTTCTTCCGCTATAATTCGTTTTTTGTATCCTTTCTACAACAACAATAACAACATCAAGCCTTTATCCCACTACATGGGGTCGACTGCATGAATCCTTTTTTTTTCCATTGTGTCTTGTTAAGAGTTAAATGCTCATTTAAATCTAGAAAAGAAATGTCATTTCTAATATTTTCTAACCAAATATTTTTAGGTCTACCTTTACCTTTCTTAACATAAACCAAATCTAATACATCTACTTTCCTAACCGGGTCATCAGAAGGTCGCCACTTTATGTGACCAAACCATCTATGGCGACTCTCTCTAATCTTATTTTCCACTGGAGCTACTCCAACCTTTTCACGTATATGCTCATTTAGTATCCTGTCTCTAAGAGTAAAACTACTCATCCACCTGTGCATCTTCATCTCAGCAACACTTAACTTAATTTTATGCTTCTCTTTTAATGTCCAACATTCTGCACCAGCATTGTAGGTCTCACCACCATCTTATGAATTTTCCCCTTGAGTTTGAGGGGGACTTTTCTATCACACAACCAGTCCGATGTATTTCTCCACTTCAACCATCCAACTTGAATTCTGCTAATAATATCCCCATCTATTTCATCATCACTCTGAATGGTAGACCTAAGATATCTAAAACGCTTACTCTTATTAATGACTTGATCGCCCAAAGTCACAAACCCTCCACTAGATCTATTATTGCTAAAGTTACACTCCATATATTCAGTTTTAGATCTACTCAAAGAAAACCTTTAGACTCTAAGGTTGACCTCCATAATTCAAGTTTACCCATCAACTCCCTCTCTAATCTTATCAACAAGAAGAATATTATCAGCAAAAAGCAAACACTAGGGTATAACCTCTTGCAAATGCCTAGTGAGAACATCCATGACTAAAGCAAAAAAGATATTGGCTTAAGGCTGATCCTTGATGTAATCTAACATAAATGGGAAAGTACTTGTTCAAACCACCTTGTGTTTGAACACGAGTAATAACTCCTGCATACATATCCCTAATGACTTGAATATAAGCATTATAAGATCCTCTCTTTTTTAGAACTTGCCATAACACTTCTCTTGGAGCTTTATCATATGTTTTTTCTAAATCAATAAATATCATATGAAGATTCTCCTTATTCTCTCTATGCTTCTCCATCAAACCTCTCAATAAATGCTTGGCTTCCATAGTAGACCTACCCGGTTTGAATCCAAATTGATTTTGAGAAACTTTAGCATCACGTCGTAACTTATGATCCATAACTCTCTCCCAAAGTTTTGAAGTATAACGCATTAGCTTAATTTCTCTATAATTCGCACATTCTTGTTCATCATCTTTATTTTCAAAAAATATGAATCAACACATTCATTCTCCACTCATTTGGCATCTTTTTAGTCTTCAAAATAATATTAAAAATTTTAGTAAGCTAAGAAATTCCTTCTTCTAAGCATTTCCACACCTCTATTGGAATATCATCAGGTCCAACAGCTTTTTCACATTTCATTTTCTTTAAAGCCTTTCTAATTTCGATTTGACTAATACGCCGATAAAAACAAAAATTTTTATTTTCATTTAGGATGTTAAGGTCACTAAATCAATTGTATTAACACAATCTTCATTGAAAAGTTTAGCAAAATATTTCATTCACCTTTGTTGAATATCTTCTTCAAATAAAAGTACTTTTTGATTATCATCTTTAATGTACTTCACTTGGACTAAATCCTTACTACTCGTATCTTTTTGTTTGACTAACTTATACATATATCTTTCGCTTTTTAGTATCTAATTTATTATATAAATAATTAAAAGTTAAAATATTTGAATCGCAAATTGCTTTCTTAGACTTTTTACGGGCCTCTTTATCTCTCCAAATTATCAGGATTTTTACATCTAAACTAATTTTTATAACAAATCTATTTATTTTTTTATCTTTTTTTGCACATTTTGATTCCATCACAATTTTTTTTTATTATTAGGAGCATTTCCCTGTGATTCTCCAAGCAATCTTTTACAATATCCTTAATATTAGTAGTTAATTTTTTCCACATAAAATTAGCTTCCTTATGCACAGACAAAATCTTAAGATCTAAAATTTTACTCTCAAAAATATTTTTGTTAATATTCTTTAAAAGCCTCAATCTAATCCTAGAACAACGATTTACTTTATTTTTTATATTCTGTCTCTTCATATTAACGTCTAACGCTAATAAGCGATGTTGGGTACATAAACTTTCACTCGGAATAACTTTACAATCTTTACAATATAAACAATCTCTTTTTCTTATAAGAAAGTAATCAATCTTAGTTTTACTATATCCATTCTTATAAGTGATTAGATGTTTATCTTTTTTTTTTTTAATTAAGGTATTACCGTATTAGTAATTGCAAAGTCATCAGCTATAAAAAAATCTAATATGGTCTTACCACATTCATTTCTGAATTATATAATTTATAATCTATCTTTATGATTTTATACTACTATTTTATAAAACATTTTATCATTTTAATTTGTTATTTACTTGCGCACATGAATGCATTGCCTTATTCTGGTCTCTAAAGATTATGTAACGTGTAGTATATATTAAGAGACTTTGCATAAATATGGTTTCCTGAATATTATTTCTTATATTTTACCCATTTTGGATGATTTTTTTGCCATAGTTTTAGGATTTTGTGTTGAATTCATTGCAAATATGAATAATGCTATTTATGTAAACATTACATATATTTTGTCCTCCACGTAGGTGTACATGTATCATGCCTTATAAATTAATATATATTTTTTAAAAGAAGTTCACTTAAAAAGATGAGGTGTTTGTCTCTCTTGCATATTCTTACTTCTTGCCTTCACTATTTATTTGCCTTAATGCTCCTTGATGATGCCGTTCTCTTTAATAAGCGTGCAATTTTTTAGTGGGACAAAGGCTTGATGTTGTTGTTGTTGAGTTATCGTGATGTGACTATTTCAATTGAACTTTTGAACTTTCTATTGTGATTTTGAATGTTCTCTTTTTTTTTCCTATATAAATGGGAAGCATGCATGATCCTACTTACTACCAATCTAAGTGCAGATTCAAAAGATTCAACTTATGACACCCAACATTGGAGTTGTTTACAGGTATATAAGATCAATTTTCTTTTTCTACGTCCAATAACTTTTACTTTTATTCATGTCATTTGAAGTTTCTTGTTTTTTCGCATCCTGAAATTATACTTCACAATTAAGGTATTTGTTGGAATAATATATTAGCCTTGATTTAGGTTTCCTTGTGCTATTTCCTTGTCCGTGATTCACCAATTTTTCATTTTAACGGTTCTTTAGGGTGTCATGTGAGGCTGTATTTTCTTTTACTGTCTTTTTTTTTCTTGAAACCTTATATCGGTGCTTACATTTAGTAAAATTGAGTTTACATTGAGAATCCTAAGCTAGGATATTCACTACGAAGTATATAGTTTGCAGCATTCCAACATTTTTATGTCAAAGGGTGCCTTGATTTAAAGACAATATTCTTGGACGTGTTTATGACATATTGGAGCATATATAGCATTTTTATTGGCATAATTTTATTAGAAAAATTGGATCATTACATTCTTTTGGAAGGCAAAGTGATATTGTGGTTCTTCCTATCATTACTTGACTAATCTAGATCATGGAATAAAAAAGCCAAGCGGGACACTCGTATTAGTACCTCTAAGTATGATATTCACAAAAATTACATTAATTAAATTTGAAACACTCTTTGCATGATGTAAATGGTTTGGTATTTGAAATGGCTTTTAGCATATAGAAGAAATGTAACAATAAGACAAGCCTATTCTAATAACTTAAAAGTTGTTTGTTTTAGAATTGTGGTTGATTAGAATATGATCACTTCTATTATCAAGATTCTTTTAATGAAATTATAGGAAATGGATATCTTGTGACTATTGCTTACATACCACACTCCATAAAATTAACTTTGAGTGGACGCTTCTTTAATTTGTGTATGCCATGGAAAAGCTGATTACCTTAATTTATCATTGCATGCACAAATTAAAGGTTGTAGAGCTCATTGAGTTGATAAAGATTATTGATTGCTAGAAGAAAGGATTTGTAGTGACTAGATTTGGGATGTGGTTACTAAAATAATTGATTAGTTACTGTTGTTTTGAATATGTTCACTAAAAGAAAGGATTTGTTTTCTTAGAACTTTGAATGTGGATATAGGTTATGTAAGTAACCACATTTTGAATTTCAGTAGCCATATTCATTATTTTAATAATCATATTTTAACATCAATAATTATATCCATTATTTTAGTTATCTCATCCAAAATAGTAGTAATTATATTCATAGTTTGGACAAATTTTTTAATCAATAGTTTAAAAAATTATTTTTGGCTATAGGACCATTCTACCATTTGAACTTATAAGAGGTCCAATCATATTGCATAAATCCTAGAGAGGCTTCTCTTAATTTTTCACTTTGTTGAGGTTTTAACAAGGACTATTTCCACAATCTTTTTTTTTGTTTGTTTTTTTTCTTTATCCATGTCAACAATGATTATGGGGAGGCTTTCACAGGATTAAAGTAAAGGAGAAGCTTCGTTTTTCTCCGGTTTACTTTCTTATTTTTCAGTTGATGATACTTTGATGGGTTAAGCTAGCTTTCGTAAAAAATTATTTGATCTTACATTAAGATTCTTAAATTCTTTTTTGAGAATAGAAAGTGCCTCTATGTGTTCCTTACGTCTAATGCATCTCTTCTCAAATTGATAACTATTGTATGAGTGTTGATGATCAACCCCTTCTATTTGAATAATTATGTTTAGGTAATACTTACAATGAAGAGATACTCTTGGGACCAAGATCATGATGGATAGCTAGCATGTTTACCCATGAATCCAAAATTATAATTCGAATTTGGAACACTTTTATATTGCCTTGAATATGCTTCTGGTTGATATGAACAATCACCCTAATATGTGATTAGGGAGAATGCAACAATAATCTAAATTTCATGATTCAAAGTAGGTTTTTAGTAAGTGCTCTCAGGTTTTGATGATTTGGATGGTTTAAATAACATATTTTGATAAAATTTTCTTCTTGAAAGTTGTAGAGCTCATTGAGTTGATAAAAACCGATTACTTTTAAGATTTAGATGTAATTTAATCAAATGATGGTTAAAATATAGAGAGCAGTAGCTGAAGATAGAAAATGCAATCATAGAAAAGTTTATAATTGAAGCATGTGCTTGTTTGATTTCAAAATGCAACAATATTTAAAGAACATTTATACGAAATATTTAAAGAATCTAATTAAATAAAGTTATGGAGACTTTTACTTGATTTCAACAAACACGAGATTAATAATAGCACTATTCGTAGAAATTTGTCGAGTTTTTTTTAATTACCAAAAGAGATTGAATTGTCTTAAATTTTTTGAATTAAACAAGATGTTAGAAACTCACCCTAGGACTTTCTAGTGAATCAAAAGCCTTTTAGTAATTTTATGAATTGTACAACTATGATAATACTATATAACATGATGCAAGAAATAATACCCAACAAATAGATGAGAATTCTTCCTCTGAAATCAAATATCATGTAGGACTAAAGAGGTAATATATATGCATTGTGCTATAATGAATGGAAACATTGTTGTTTCTCAGATTCTTATGATTAAATTATATAAGCATGCATCATCTATTGATTAACTAGTACAATAACACCGAATGAACTAGCGAAGCTTGGCTTAAATGAATGTGATGTTAAGTATAAATGATGTCTATTCTTAAAAAGCAAGAAAGAGATGATAAGCTAATGTAATCCCACTTTGATAGATTTAAAGCAATCAGTGGGGGAACAAGGATAATCTAAGACTCTAAATTGATCTCTATGAACAATTATTTGTCATTTCCTTAATAGAAGTCATTATCCAAGGATTGTGTCTTCACTCTCAGGTATTCTTTAACTTGAGGGTGATAAGCATGCTACGCAGAGTTGTGAACTCAAGTGAAACAAACTTTCATTTAAATATCATTGCAACATGGAAATACATGAGAATATATACCACTTTTTTTATAAACTAAAGCAAGGGGCATCCCAAAATATAAAAGGAGTGAGCGAGGGATGTTCATGGCGTGAGGAAGGAATAATAAATAGGTTTCTAAAACATTTTGGAGAGATTTCAAAGTTTTCAAGTGATGTTCAAGGCCGAACTGATTCTCAAGCTTATGCATAAGTTTTATTATTTTAAATAAGAATGAGAAAAAGAAGGTGGGGGGTGGGGGGTTGGAATTTTCTATTTAGGAGTCTGACTTAGTGATAAAAAAGGAGATTTGACAAATAATATGACGATGCAGTGGTCAATAGGTGGTCAGAAGGGGGTCAAATTGGTCATTGGACACAGCTAAGGCATAGAAATGGTTAGGCTGCTCAAACCTCATATTCATACAACTAGCATACATTATATATGACATTTCATGACCTAAACGAATAACAAAAAGATCCAAAAATACATGACTCAAAGAAATTTAACAAAATGAAAATATATAAGAAATAAAAGTACAACTAGAAGGTCCTGATTACACAATATCTAGATTCCACGAAATACTAAACTAACTGAAAAGTGCAGCCTGCATAACACGGTAATCAGGTCTTCTGGGTAGCGGGTGCTCTTTTAATTCATAGATGATTTACAGTTCACGGTTTGTACTTTGTAGTGAATGGGTAAAATGAAGAAGCATCCACATGCTTTGCGTTAGTTTTTCCTATAAGTGTGTGCAGTCCAGTTTAGCATATAAAACCTTTATGTGATATGAAAAAGAACACCTCTAATTGTATCTTTCTTGCAATGAGCTTTACCCAGGTCATGTTCTTATATATTGGGATTCAATGGCAATGCCAATGAAAGAGTAATTGATTATTAGGATGGTTTGAGGGAGAGATGTGATGTGTAATAGTTTCCCTATAATGGTTATGGTTACAAATTGCAATCTGGATGGCCTAATTCTACATTAGTTTTTGGATTCTATTAGCAAGGTCAGTTTTAACTGGTCATGCCATTTTAGTAGGGATAATATGCTTGTTCTGTCATAGTAACATCTGCACGACATGAATGATTTATGTTATTTTTGTTGACTGATTTTTCATATGAAGAATTTTCTTTGCAAAGTATAATAGTTAGTATGCATTGACATCATATTCTTTTAATACAATGAGTGCTGTCAGCAAATTGAATACTTTACTTTTGTTTATCTCAGCATTTCCTTTTCTTTCTATGTAGCGGAATGGGTCCAGATTCCCGTGTTTTGGTGAGAAAAAGCCGAAAGCAGGCACAACAGTATTACAGACTATACAAAGTATTGTTTTGCTTCCCGTCCTTTGCTTATTTTAGTACTACTACATAAAGTTATCTAAAAAATTTATTAGTTCTGTCCAGTCCTTGGTCAATCACGCGAAACTTTCTAGTTAATATTCATGTACGTATCTTAGTAGACTTTTTCAATGTATACATTCCTGTTTAAATAATAGTTTAGATAGGTTCATTGATTAGAAAACTCAATTTACAGACCTGTGTTGCATCGTACCTGAAGATGTATCATGCTGTTTCTTGTTGGGATCATGCAAATTATCCCATTTTTTTTCTAATAAGCTTGCTATTTTGTCCACTATGGTGCTCCTATGCCCAGAACGGTGCTTTTATGTATGGTATCATGGTAACCTTGAAATCTGGTAAAAAACTCTAGTCATTTTAATCATAAATCTGATATTGTGGTTGCAGGAGGCAATTCCGGTCACACAACTAGTCAGGGAAACAGCTACCGTCATGCAGGAATTCACTCAATCTGGGTATCGATATCTTCAGATAGCATTTTGCTCCTACTCTTTTATAGGTTTTATTTTTAATAAAAACTCTGCTTGTTAAAGCTTGGAAAATTAGGCGATAGATTGTAATGTAGCCGTAATGAATGGTTAAATACTTTTTTCAGAAAATTCTGGAAATATTCATAAAATATAAGGTATCCTTACAAACATTTTGGGATTCCTCATTTTGGTAACTATGAATATCATATCGTAATATCTTAAAGCTGCATTTTCTAGTCAACATTTTGTGACTAAATCATTATAATACAAGAAGCCTCGTGCTTTTTGTGTAGTGTTACTGATATGGTTTGGGACGCTTCAGTTTGGTTTCAAATCATACAATATTTGGAATCAAGCTGAATTGGATTGAATGCAAAAATCTCAAACTGAAACAAAACTATCTAATAGGTAAACCAAACCAAGTAGTTCAGTTTGGTTTGTAGTTTTATATTTTTCTTAACATGGTTGGCCTAAGCTTCATTGTTTGCTTCCAAACTAAAAAATAAAAGACTATCTAAAGATGCATTCCTACTGAGCACAATGCAATTGATATGGGCAAGTAGATGATAAATCTACTCCTGCAAGGGCCTATAAGAAGAGGCATTTTTGTGCAGGCATGAGCCTTGTTGCTGCAGCGGGGGATGGTGTGCGCTGAGGCCAGAAAATGGAGCCTGTTGTGAGATATTTGAACAAGAATTATGATAAGAAATAGTGTGAGCCATTGTCACTGCAGTGGTTGTTACATGTGATGCGTGCCTATGAGAAGTTTGCTTCTGCAAGCCATGAGCCTTGTTGATGGGAGTTTGAACTTCAAAGTGCGAATTTGTCCATGATATGGAGTTCTAGGGGTGGCCGACAACACTCTCATGGTTTAGGAAAACCAAAAACCGAAGAGAACTATGGGTGTGTTGTGCATTTAGGCTTAGGGTCCTAAAATTGGAGTGGGGTGGGAAGGCCCTAATTTCTTAAATTGTGAATCATGTCAACAAAAAATTGAAGCCTTTGCTTATTAATTTGTTATAAGTGATATTGGCTTGAGTTTTATTGGTTTGATGAAAATTCAAACCTAAATCAATTTATATTTCTGCTTTAACTAAAATCTCTAACCTTGATCAAATCAAACCAAAATCTAATCTTACCGAATTGACTGGATTTTTCAGTTCGAAGAGATTTTTTTGTTTTGTTTTGTCATTTACTGTCCCTACTAACAGAGATGAGCTGCCCAGAAGGTTTTATATTGTATTTATTACAGTCATTTCAGGGATTTACCTTTTTTATGATTACAGTTGTTTTGGATTTTTTTTTTAACGTATTAAGGTGAAGGAATATTGATGCACAATTTCAGTTGTTAACATCTTCCTCTCACATATTTTGATTAACTTGAAAATGCTGTTAAGCTGATTAATGGTCAACAAAGCTAAAGTTAATGATAGTATGATACTATGAACTAAGTTTTAAAAATCGGTCAAGAAGCTTATCCTTGAGCTGAATTTATAGTGAGCTTATTCATATAATTTAATTGGATTAGACTGATCTAATAAATGTGCTAACTATGAATTATGCTATGCAATTTCGAAACAAACAAGATACTTTGAACTTTAGTATCATCCGCTTTAGTCCAATTTAGTTTAAAATTCAGTGGGGTTGTGTTGGTTCATTTGAACTACATTTTGGTTTTGTTACCATAATAAAATTTAAAGCTGTTTGAGTTTAAGGCTTAGCTTGCATATGTTTATGGAATTATGTGAGCATCTATGCTAAGATTGTAAATAATTAGAGGGTACTAGTGGCTTATATAATTCACTAGCTCCAACAGCTTTTCTACTCTTGATAAGAATCAAGTGCTGATTAAGTATGAGGTACATTTTAGCTCAAGCGCTTGGAGGTTGAAAAACATTTGAAAATCTCATTAAGTTGCTTGAATTAGGACGATAAGTTGAAGCTGTAAATGAATGTAAAGCTGATTAAAGGAGACAAATAAGAGACAGAGTAGTGGGGAAGTTGAGGATGATAAATAGTGTGTGAAAAGTGAGATCAAATCATATTAAAAAGAGAACAACATATGTGGGGAAGCTTTAGTTTTTCTATGTTTGTGAGATTAGGTAACATCATAGTGTCGTTAGAATGAATGTCGCATGAGCTGGTCCCATACGACCGGTTGGACTGGTCTAATGGACCAGTCTAACAATACTCCCCTATCAAAGACCCACTTTATCCGCAAGGTGGAAAGACGACCCCTCCTCCATTCCCTCTTCATCACAGACGGTAAGAACCTGAAGAGTTCGCTCCTTACACCTGTGCCCTGGCGTATACCTTTTGTCACATCTAAAACAGAGCCCCTTTGCCCTTTTCTTCTGAGCTTCTTGAAGTTGTCCCCAGGTCTTCATCCTACAGTCTTCTCCTTCAAAGTCTCCCTGAGAGTATCCGGTGTTGGCTCCTTGGGTGCCAAAAAGGTGGTGGTAATCCTGTAAGAGCCACCTGAGCTGCTGCCTCCTATTCCTCTCTCCAGGTGCCTCTGATCTTCCACCAACATAGCCTCTTCCAAGTCACGAGGCCTCATCACTCTAACTGTTTTGCAGATTTTTAGTTTCAGTCCTTTCATAAAGTTTCCCTTCAGTACAGTCTCTGGAAGCCGATCCAATCGGCTGGCAAGATACTCAAATTGCTCACGGTACTTTACCACTGTCCCTTCCTGCATCAAAGCGAAGAACTGTTCATAGAAGTCTCCTCCCCTTTTGGTTTGGAAACATTCCAACAATTAGTCCTTAAACTCCCTCTAGGTCCGTATCGGTCTCCTCGTATCCCTCAATTTGTACAATGCTAAAGCTTTTCCTTCCAAGCACATCCCGGCTGCCGTCAACACCCCCTTTGTTAACCTGTTTACGGTAAAGTACCTTTCCACCTTGTAGATCCACCCATGGGCACCATCTCTCTCAAAAATAAGCATCTTCAGCTTCCTCACCCTCAGATCACCTCCGTTCCTCCTGTTCCCTTCATAATTTCCCAAGGGGTTGGTTCCCCCCAAGTGTCCCAATCATCCATTCTACGTTCATACCCAAGCCTTTCATCAATTTCCCACTTTCCTTTCAAATTCAACACCCCTTGGATCATAACAATCTCCTCACCTTCCGCCCTTTGGTCATAATTACCTATTTTCCTTTCAAATCTTGCTTCTCTCCTCTCCAAATAAGCACCTCTTCGTTCTTTCCCTATCTCCTCCCGCCTCTCCCCATAGCCCCTACTTGACTCCTCCCTAGGAATAGACTCTACCGCCCTAGGGGAGGCATTTTTTTTGTTCCCTCCAAAATCTCCACCTCTTGATCTTTCCTTCGTCTGACTGGCTTAGGGGTTTCCCCACTTCCTTGGTTGTCGGCGCCTTCCCTCACCTACGATGGCGATATTTTGGTTTGGCCCTCGAGCACTTTCTTCAACATCTCCTCCATGATGGAAAAATTTGAATTATTCTTATCATGGATGACTAAAATATTCTTTTTCAAATATGAAACTTGAGTTTGGAGAACTGAAATTTCAGATTTCATTTGTCGGATTTCCCCTTCTAATACTTCTACCTATCTTCCCGCCATAAATCCCCGAATCTTTTAGGCTCGAAAAGTCGTATTTGCACTACAAAACAGCAAAAACAGCTGTTCGAAGGAGAAAAACTGCCGCGGGAATCAGCCCAAACAGCCCTGGACACTGCTTAGGCTTGAAAATTCGGATTTCCACCACAAAAATAGCAAAAATAGCGGTTCGAAGGAGAAAAACTGCTGCAGGAATCAGCCCACACATCCCCGGACACCGCTCTGATACCAATTTGACAGGAAACACTTGAAGATCTCAAGACTTTCCTTGCAATCTTTAGAAAACAATGAGAATTCTCTACAAAAATTCACACAAAATCAGGAAAACAGTACATAATTGTATTATTTGATGAAATAGAAATTCAAAATACAAAGATACAATTGATCATCTATTCGAGAGGAGGATCTATCTCTCCCAAACTTCTAGACGCCGCTAGAGCCCAAAAACCTAAAAGATCTCAAATTTTAGCCAAATTCAAGATGCCCTAACCCTAGGAAAACAAACTCTTTAATGCATACAATCCAAAAGGATATCTCTAAACCATCCCTACATTCAAATTTCCCTCATAACCCCCTTCAAAATTCTTCCTAAATAGCTTTGTCATACCTAGGCGGTTGGATTGTGCGTATAGGAGGTGGTGAACTTCCGTCTGTTTCACACGAGCCGGTCCCGTAGGACCGGCTTGATTGGTCCAATGGACTGCTCTAACAATCTTCTAATATTATTACCTGACTAATAAAAGTGAACTAAACTGATGTGGAACAATGAAATAGTTCTCCTTAGGAATAGCTTATCTAGTTTGTTACAAGTTCTCTAGAATATTCTATAGATGAGTTATATATGTATGCATTGTAGTAGGGAAAGCTCATTGAATGATATATTACACTCTTTGAAGCTTTTAGAGCTCCTCTTCTTCTTCCCTGGATTGGGAAAACCAAATCCTTCTTGCAGGTCGAGTCTTCCGACGATCCACTACATTAGAGCCTGGAGCTTGTGAAGATCGATGGACTGTGGAAGAATGTCGGCTCTCGACGACGATCGAAGCCGCATAATAAGATTGGCGGTCGACGACGATCAACGCCGAGGAAGGTGGGTTGTTGACGATGCTCGAAGCCGGATTGCCTTCTATCAAGCTCAAGCGAAGGAATCACTCGATCGGGTAGATCGGAACCTTCGGGCAATAAGGAAGATGCGAATGTCTTCGGCAACCATACCGAGATATTCTTCTTCTTCTTCGCTCTCCTCGTTCGCTCCACGCAAACGCCATCAGTCCCGCCATTCCCCCACCGTCGTCGATGACTATGCTCCGCTCGAACTCCCTCTCCAATGGCGTGATCCACTGCTGGAGTACCCGTCGCTCGAGCTTCCATTGCGATGGCGAGATCCTCTGCCTCCACAGACTACTTCGCCTAAATCAAACCTGATCGCCCCACTTCCGCTTCAGCAAGCAAACAATGAACCCGCGCCTGGCGACAAGCGCGATTCCGTGCCTAGCATACAACCCAGTCCCGTTGCCCGTGATCTCACCGGAACGGATAAGCTGCTGGAGGTCGTCAAGGTCCCCAACGTTGCCCCATCGACCAAGCCGTCGTCTCCACCGCAGGCAGCGTCGGAGACATTCCCGTCCCGGAAGAAGCCCACGCACGTTGATTGTTCGATCGAACAAATCTTCAGTATGCCAGAACTCCGAACTCCACCTGAGGACATTCGCAATTCCACCGTTACCGCTCCTCTGGTGCAGTCCGCTCAGACATAGCATCCACTCCAGGTGCCTGTAACCGATGCCTTCCTTCATTCCTATTCAACATCGTCCAAGGGCTCTTCAGATTTCGATGGAGAAATCGAACCCGCGCCTATCGGGTCAGCTGGCTCCTCGATCATGGCAGGAGACAGAGAGGTTTTGCCTTCAGCTAGAGCATCATCGCTATTTGCATCGGCTTCTGACGCATCCTTATCTGGTAGGGTGAGAGAGGCTGATTCTATTCTTCCAGCTTCCCAACTCCACTCGCCGACAGCAGCCGACCAGGCCCCCGCCGACCAGACTCCCGCACACCCAGCCGCCGATACCATTCCTCCGTTGGCGTCTGGTGACACCATTCCTCCGTTGCCACACACTCTACTCCGGCGGCAGCAGACAAAGAACCCACTCCGGCGGCAGCAGACATGTATTGAGCTCGATCTATCACGACCAGATTCCAGTCTTGCTGCCTGCTCCGACTTCGTCGAACAGCGTGACTTCAGCCCCGACCCGGAAGCATCCAGCGAAGGCGCCGGGGAGCTCGATTACCAAACCAAACCCGATCTCCCACAGCCCAACTCCGTCTCCGCCTCAGCTTCCTCCGGAGATCTGACGCAACTCCCATCGTCTGGTCTTTTGGACTCTGAGATGCGAGATGCAACACTCGCATCTGCTGCTCCGATTCTATTTGGAAATCCGGCGAAGCAGCATTACGGGGAGTTAGGAGCCGGCAATATGTGTACCAAAGAACACAGGCAGCTTGCTCTCGAAGCTGCGAGACAGAGAGTGGTGCTTCTGAAAAATGAGGGAGGGCTTCTGCCACTAAGAAGGAGCAATGTGGCTTCCATGACTTCGATTAATCATTCCAGTTTGGACCTACTGGACCGTGAGACAGGTGCTGATGGCACAAACCTAATAGAAATTTACAACAGCGATGCTTCTGGTACCGCTTGGTATTGGAAGAGAAAATGGGTCATCCACATCTGTCCCCAGCTCATTCAAGAAAGCAATACAGTTGACATCATTTCTATTACCTGGAGTAAAGATGATGACAAAGTTGAGCATGCATGGGAGACTGAGTTAAATGACAATTACAACGTTGATACTGAGAACATTTTCATTGCAGGTGTGCAAATGACTGAGGTGCAGTACACTGACAAAGCTTATTCACTGCAACGCTCACAAGATGTTCGACGAAATGTCAATAAGGGCTGGGATCTCAAATTTGAACTGTCAGACCCTGCTTACGGAAGCAAGGGAAATGGGAAACTTACATTTTATGGCCCCACTACCACTATTGAGGAGCAAGGAATCAAGGAGCTCAACATGAGGCCTGGCGGTATTTCTTCTCTCCTCCATTTTACTGATCTCAAGGGCAGGGATAAGGAGCTTGTTATGCAGTGGTTAAGAAAGCCATCAATTGAGCATTATGTACCTGAATTGTACAGAAACATTTCTACTCTATCTATAAGGGGGCAAGTTGGTATGGGAAACACAACTTTATTGAAACAGGTCTATGAAGATGAAATGATAAAGGAATTTAATCTTAAAAAATGGGTTTGTGCATTCAGCAACTTTGAAGAGGAGGAATGGGACAAAACTAAATGGGAGAATGTGCTCGCCTCTCTATCTTGTGAAATTTGGGTAAGGGATTGGTTCTGTGCCGAGAACTCATATTCACCAACCAATTGGCGAACTGAAATGCTAGTTCATTTCAAGGACTCCAAAGTTGAACCTCCTCACTTGGATTGGGGAACACCTCTTCATGTGGTGATTATAAAGTCTGCATTCAAAGTCTTCGATCTAGGAATTTGTTTGCCACCCTACCTCCCTTCTAATTAACGAGCCTCGAACGGAGTCGAGCTCTTTTTACGCTAGGGGAGAATGATGTGGAATAATGAAGTGGAACATTATAGCTAATAGTTCTCCTTAGGAATAGCTTATCTAGTTTGTTACAAGTCTCTCTAGAATATTCTATAGATGGGTTATATATGTATGCATTGTAGTAGGGAAAGCTCATTGAATGATATATTACACTCTTTGAAGCTTTTAGAGCTCTTCTTCTTCTTCTTCCCTGGATTGGGAAAACCAAATCCTTCTTGCAGGTCGAGTCTTCCGACGATCCACTACATCATAAACTGTGTCATATTTTCTTTTCCTTCCATATTATAAATTATTTTTAAATAGCTAGTGTGGAGAGAATTTTGTGTTTGTACATATAGGCGGTTGAGAGGATTTGTTTGGAGAACAGGGTATTCTGATTTTGAATTTGCAAGTAAAACCATGAGGGGATCTCAGGTAGTAGGAAGAGAGGGAGGCTTGGGGATAGGGAAGCAGGTGATGTGGGAGTGATCATTGCTTTTTATGGGACGCATAAGCAGAGTATTTGCTTTTAATGTTCTTCTTTGTTGTAATTTTCTTATATTTTTCTGTTTTTTTACCAATCAGCTTTTAGCTATCTGATGTGTGCAGTTGCAAATGACAGCCTTTACTTTAAAAATAATCTTACCTTTTTGTTTAGCATACCATTTAGACGCTTTATCTAAATTAGGGTTTCTAAATATTTTTCCATTTAACAGTGGTGTAAGGCCTTTTGGTGTTTCTTTACTAGTTGCTGGATTTGATGACAGCGGCCCGCAGCTTTATCAGGTAACAAATTTTCAGTATTTTGCTTTCATTTTGAGTGAAATTCTTATAGCAGTGCCAGTTATTAAATATGCGGAGTTCAATATGATTATTCCTGGCACATTTTCCGCCTGATGTTTATGTAATCAAAGCATCTGAAAACTCCATCTTTTGATACTAATTCATAAGGTTACTACCCATGCATTCAATGCAGTTTGGCTAAGGTTGCAGGACTGTTTAAAGAGAATTTGTAATTCTAGTTTATATGAATGTGTAGTTTCTTTTCCGTATTTCCATTCTGTTATTACATTTAGTTGAATGCTTTGTCTGACATCTTTCAAATTTAATTTATTACAACTGCTTCTTTGCATATTTTACCTTGGTAGGTTGATCCTTCTGGATCATACTTTTCATGGAAAGCTTCTGCTATGGGTAAAAATGTTTCAAATGCAAAGACATTTCTTGAAAAGAGGTAACCCAAACTAGATGAGTTAGATTTCAGATTTTATTTTAGTTTATGTGATGTAATTTCATATAAATTTTGTTTGGTGATACAACTTTTTATTGTATGGCTACATGCATATTATTTCTAAGATTGTGGTGCTCATAAACTATTTCAATTGGATGAGACATCCGTATTTCTATTCATATTGTATTCAATTGATATCTTATCATCTAGCTTCAATGTCAGGAGGCATAAAATCGCTCATCTTTTCTTAAGGGTTGTGAGTTCTTTTCGGATTCATTTGCGATAGTTTTTTTATAGTTTCGTGGCAGGGGCAAGAAATATAAGGGGAGCCTATACCCCTCGCCCACACAAGAGAGGTGGGATGACACAAAAACGAAGAGACACGACTTGAGACGAGAAGCCAAAATTCATATTATTTTGGACATGAGGTGACCCCTCCTTTGTCTACATCATTTCGCTTTCTAGATTGCTGTTACAATTTTGTGTGGCTACTTTTTCTTTTTTAAATTACGTTTTACTTTTAAGGTAAAACTTAAAATGGATTTATGTCGAGTAGGCTACTATGGACGCTATACATTTGTTGAGAGGTTTGATGAAGTAGCATAGAAAGAATAAGGAGGATATGGAGAGTTTTAAAAAAAGTGCTCTGGAGAGTTTTAGAAAAGAAAGGAATTAATAATGCTTATATTCAAGTCATTAAGGATATGTATGGAAGAGTTGTTACCTGTGTTCAAACACCAGGTGGTTTGACCAAGTTGTCTCCTATTTCAGTTGGATTACAAGGATCAACTTTAAGCTCATATCTTTTTGCTTTAGTCATGACTGTTGTTACTAGATATTTGCAAGAGGATGTACCCTTATGTATGCTTGTTGTTGATGATATTCTTTTTGCTAATAAGACTAGAGAGAGAGTTGAAGGGAAATTTGAATTATGGAGGTCAACTTTAGAGTCTAAAGGTTTTCGTTTGAGTAGATCTAAAATCGAATACATGGTATAATTTTAGTAGTAATAGTTCTAGTGGGGGGATTGTGAATTTGGATTTTGGACGATCAAGTCATTAATAATAGTACTTGTTTTAGATTTCTTTGGTCTATTGTTCAAAGTGATGGTGAAATAGATGGGGATATTGTTAGTAGAATTCAAGTTGGATGGTTGAAGTGGAGGAATGCATTGGATATGTTGTGTGATAGAAAAATACCCTTCAAATATAAGGGAAAATTCTATTAGGTGGTGGTGAGACTTGTAATGCTTTATTACACAATGTTGGCCATTAAAAAAGAAGTATAAAATTAAGTGAAATATTGCAGACATGAGGATGCTCAGGTGGATGAGTGGCTTTACTCTTAGAGACAGAATGCGAAATGAGTGTATACATGAAAATGTTAGATTAGCTCCAGCAGCAGATAATATTAGAGAGAATCGCCTTAGATGGTTTGGTCACATAAAACGTCGACCTTCTGATGACCCTGTTAGGAGAGTAGACATATTAAATTTGTCCTATGTTAAGAAAGGTAGCGATGACCTAAAAAGACTTGGTTAGAAAATATTAGAAAGGACATTTTTTATTAGATTTAAATGAGAATTTGACTCTTAATAGAACACAACGGAGAAAAATGATTCATGTAACTATCCCCACATAGTGGGACAAAAGCTTGTTGTTGTTGTTATATGATTTACTTTTAATTCTTTTAGAGTGTTGTATGTTGTTGTTCGTTTGACTTTTTTCAAAATGAAAATATTTATAATACCCACACCATTTAAAAAAAAAATATTTTCCTACAACAATTATACAACCACTTTTACAGATAGTTGCATCTGTCCCCAATGAACCCTTCTTCTATGATTGTCTAATTGTTGTGGGAAACTACTCTACAACTACTTTTACAGATTGTTGCTGTTGCTCGTTCAACTTGTTGATTGGTAATATTAAATTCTTTCCTTCCATACTCTTTAGTTTTCTTCGTTGGTTGTTTAGTTCCAAGGAGGTTTTTTACTTTATCCCGTTGTAGTGAGCTATAATTTTGCTTCGCATATTTGGATCTAGTAATTGGAGGTCAACCATGATGTATATATTACTTTTCTTTCAGGTTTAGACCTAACATCTGGCATTGATTTTAGTTTCATTGGTGTTATATCAAATTGCTGTGATTAAAAATTAAAAAAATTGGAAACTAAGACACTATAGATTAGAGGACAATATTTTGATACCAAGTCTCGTTTATAATTCACTTTCTTGAATGAATATGATATTATTAAATCTTAAAACAGTTTAAATCAGTCCATGAAAGTTCAAGTTGCCACGAAATACAAAAAGTTAAATTAAGCCATAACAGAAAATAGTTGAGCCCATTGTCAAATATTTTCAATTTCATTTTTTGTTATTGACGAAATTCTCTTCATTTTTTTAATTTGAACTACTTTATTAAGTTTTTTTTTTTCTCTTGGATAAAATTATAATTTGTTTTGTCAAAATCTTGGGAAATGCATGCTAGTGGCTTTTTATTATGGAATTCACTTTATTGAATAAATATGTAGGTTTCTCCTTTCAACACTTGTTGAACCCTCGTCTCTTCCATATGTGAGATATCTCACAACTTTGTTATCTAACTAGTCAGATGGTTTGATCGTTTTCCACTTCTCTGTTAGAAGATATCGTGGGAACATTCTTGCAATAATGCTTAGGTTATCCTCATTGTGACCTAGTAGTGTTCCAGCTCAAATCATTAAAACTACCTCCTTATTGTGCAAAAATAAGGCTGCGTTCCTCAATCCTTAGACCTAACATTTTAAATTTGTTAGATTTTAGGTCCTCTACTAGAAATAGCTCATTAATGTCTAGTAGAGAGCCTTTTTTAGCTCATAAATTGAGGCTCATTCCTCCATTTGCTGCCCCTTTGGTTTCTCCACTTACCTCTTCTCCTCCCCTTTGTCTTTTCGGTTTCTTGTGCTGGTTGATTTTCCTGTGCCTTACCCCTTTGGTTCCCGTGGCTGGCTGTTTGATTCCCGTGGCTGGCTGCTTGGTTCACGTGGCTGGCTGCTTGGTTCCTACGGCTATCTGCTTGGTTCCTACGGCTATCTGCTTGGTTCCCGTGGCTTGTCTGCTTGGTTCCCGTGGCTTGTCTGCTTGGTTCCCGTGGCTTTTCTGCTTGGTTCCCGTTGCCTCTCTTCTCTGTTTTGCTGTACCGTATGGGGGCTGCTGTTTGGTGGCTGTTGGGTGGGGAATTCCATGGGATTTTTCATGTTTTCTGTGCAGTTTTCCTGCAGCTATTTGCAGTCTTTTGGCCTTCTATTCCTTGAATTTAATGGGTTTAATGGGAGATATTTGGGCTGTTTGGCTGCCCTTTTTGTACCTATATATAGGAGATGTTTTGAGACTTAAAAAGAATGTTATGATGATATTTTTGGAGCCAAAAACCTATGATGTTTTTCTTCTTTCTTCGGAATAGCTTGCGAGCTATGTTCTTCGCCTCTTCTTATTCTCCTCTAGGATAACTTGCGAGTTATTCCTGTTTCGTCTCGGCTCCTAATCTCCTTCTTCTATCCGCAAGTCCGACGTCATTTGTATCCTTCTTCTTAATCTAAGAAAACAGTTTTAGGAAAGTCGTAGTGTCTTTATTTTGTCGTTTGTAAGTGTCTAAGTTTGTAAGTCTTTATATATATTAAAGTGAAGTTGTTTTTTTGGTTTATTTATCTATTTTGTGTTCTTTTATGTATCTTCTACGTTATAGGAAGAGTCTTATTTTTGTAATAAAAAATTTGGGGCCCTTCCCAAATTTTTGATTGCATCACTGATGATATTCTTCTTGTTGATAAGACTTAAGAGGGAGTTGAAGGTAAACTTGAATTATGTAGGTCTACCCTAGAGTCTAATGGCTTTCGTTTGAGTTGATCTAAAACTGAATATATGGAGTGTAATTTTAGAAATAATAAATCTATTGGGGGATTCTGACTTTGGGCGATCAAGTCATTAATAAGATCACCTGTTTTAGATATCTTGGGTCTCTTGTTCAGAGTGATGGTAAAATAGATGGGGATATTATTAGTAAAATTCAAGTTGAATGGTTGAAGTGGAGGAATGCATCGGACTTGTTATGTGATAGAAAAGTTCCTCGCAAACTTAAAGAAAAATTCTATAAGATGGTAGTGAGACCTGCAATGCTTTATGGTGTAAAAAGTTGGTCATTAAAAGAGAAGCATAATATTAAGTTAAGTGTTGCAGAGATGAGGTAGTAGATACAAGATTATTAACAAAAAAAAAAGTGTTGCAGAGATGAGGATGCTAAGGTGGATGAGTGGCTTTACTCTTAAAGATAGGATACGAAATGAGTATATACGTGAAAAGGTTGTAGTAGCTCCAATGGAAGATAAGATTAGAGAGAGTCGCCTTAGATGATTTGGTCACATAAAACGGTGGTCTTCCGATGACTTGGTTAGAAACTTAGATGTATTAGATTTGACTTATATTAAGAATGATAGAGGTAGACTTAAAAGGACTTAGTTAGAAAATATTAGAAAGGGCCTTTATTAGATTTAGATGAGATTTTAACCCTTAACAGGACACAATGGAGAAAAATGATTCATGTAGCTGGCCTCACTTAGTGGGATAAGGGCTTGTTGTTTTTGTTGTTGTTGTTGTGATAGCCTTCAATCTGTTTGGGTTTCTCCACTTTAAATTTTATGGCAGTTTTGTAGTTTTTCTATTTGGAAGTTGTAGTACATTTTGATCTTATGATTGAAAGGGGTTTTCTTACTCATTTTTGTATTGAAGGTACACTGAGGATATGGAGCTTGATGATGCTGTTCATACTGCTATTTTGACTCTGAAAGAAGGGTATACTGTTTCCTGTACTATGTGATATTAATAAGCGCTTGCTCTCCCTTGGCAATTATGTGACGGTTTCTGTTGTCATGTTGTAGTTTTGAAGGTCAAATTTCAGGGAAGAATATTGAAATTGGGTTAATTGGCACTGACCGGAAGTTCAGGTATGAGTTCTTGTTCTCATGGTACAGATTTTCAAATATGCATAACTTAATTGTTGAGTTGATTTTAAATTATGTAAATTAACCAACAAAGGTAATGTGATAGTAAGCAGGTTGTAAATTTTAAATTTAGCTATTAGTTTGTTGGAAAATAGTGTCAGTTACAACACCATGGAGGGCACTAACACAATTCTGGTGAGGATTAAAGAATCCTTGATGAGGATGGTCGTCGGTTTATATGGTCTTGGATCATTAATTTGAATTGCAAAAAGAACCTCTCTAAGGAATCCATATGAAATTCTTAAATCCATTTTTCCATGATGTGAACTTCTTTCCCTGGTTATACCCGCCAAGGAATCATAGCCTAGAAACTTTTGCAGACAGTATTGTATCCCATGTTCCTAAATTTCTCATTTTTTATAGATTTGCCCGCCAGGATATTTCATTTTTCTTCCATACAGAAAGCTAAGTATAATGACATTATGGACTCATGGTGTTGTTCATATTTCATTCTCGACATAAGGCTCTTAGTGCTCAGAATTAGCAGAAATGAAGTTGGTTTTATGTGGTAACGTTATTGGTGGATCTCCTTTTTCATCTTCCTTTTCTTTTTCTTACCTTCGAATTACTAGGTCCTCTCCTTGAATTCTACCTTTAGGATGAGCGAGGATTTAAATAGAGTTTCGAAGTGAACAGAGGGATAAAGGCTTCAGTGAAGAGAAGAACAAAGAGTTGTATTAAGAATCTTGAATTTTCCTAGGATCTGGAGAGAGTTTGAGAGGGAGCCTCAGGATTCTTGTTTCCTGAATGGAGAGACACATAGATAGAGAAGAGAGAGTGAAAGAGAGAATCTTGAGAGGGTAGAGGATGAGGAGGAACAAGGGGATTGCAGCAGTTTGATTAATGCGAACTTACTATAGCTGTTTGGTAGAGAATTTGGAGGAATGAGGGAATTGCTTCAATTTGAATTCATAGATAAGAAATAATCCTAACTTTCCTATCTCTGTTTATATAAGCAATGTTATGATTAAAAATAAAACTAATTCAAAAAAAGATGACCATTAAAATTTCTATCATCTCATTTAAGAAAAATGGAGATTGTTCAAAAAGGGTAATTCCTATCTAATTAAGTAAAAAAGTTCTTATAAGGAATAATAAATAAATTTAATTTAGGACTAGCTAGATTTGAATTTCGAATTGGAATCTTGCGAAGAATTTAGGCTTGTGTTTTGATAGAGGTCATATGTTGCATAAGTAACCCCTAAGTAGGACAAAAGATCTAACTATGGTCTTAATGTTTGCCCCTTTGGATGGTTAAGTTCAAAAACCAAACCATGTCAAGTTGATATGATAATTTGTGAGAACTGTATCTGTTTTAGCATGCCAAAATGGTGGTAGGCAAATAAAGGAGGGAACATCATGATAATTTCTCCAGTATCACCATTACAACTTATGGTGTAATGATGAGATTTGCACCACTCAAATATCTACTGCATAGAAACCGCGTTTATATGATTGTTAAGAGAGCGAAAATTGTATCCATAGCTGCATTTCTATGAACTAAATCACTGCTTGGCGCTTGCATTCAGTAAACTAATTTCGATTCCTGATAAGCTACAAGTGATATGAAATTGGATTTTCTGAGTGTTCACTAAAAATCTAATGATAAAAACTTATCTTTAAATTTTCCTGGGCTAATTTCTGAAGAACAGATGAATCAGCAAAACTTATGCATGTTTCAGAATTTCTTTGTGGTATATTTGGTTTAAAGAAATAATAGGGAATGCAAATGCATATTACTTTAAAATTTCATATGAAATTTTTTGTTCCAGTATAATTGATATGTAGTTGGATTTTTCTTAGGAAATGTGAACGGTTGTCTTACCAATTCTTGTAAAAAATACAAATAAAAATTTATCGGGTTATCATTGTCACTCATATTTTCCCTTCATATACCAAAAATTCATCTTGCAAATAAGAAATCAAAAATACTTTTCACTTAATTTCCCATCAACCAAAGATGTGATTTATTTTCATTTCTTTTTTTTTTTTGAAGTTTTTAACTAACCAGATTTAAATATTCTCACAAAATGTATTCGTTGAAATATATTCTATTGATGCATAAGTTGTTTGATGAAAACGAGCAGAATCGAAACGCTATAACGTTAAAAGACTATACAAATTTTAACAAGGAAATACCAGAAGGAAAATAGAAGCATAAACTCAAGAACAGAAGATATTTAATATACCAATAAAATTGCACTATGATGCTAAATTTAAAAATTAGATGCTTTAATTTTTCATAAAATTAATTCTGGAGGAAAGGCATATCAGCAAAGCTTTTTTATATTTTCAAGTGGTCTTTATTGTCTCACAAATTTCATATGTACAGTACTTTTGTTAATACATAGAATATTTTTTTATGACAATCTCATTAAAAAAATTTCAAGGGAAAATTGAAGTTATATACCTGAAATTAGGGAAATTTATCTGTTATTTTGTTTCTTTTATTTTTTGAAAAAATAAGTCTGAAAATTCTGTTTGAACCAAAATACCGCCTTAGCAGAGTGTAGATACTTTTTTAAGTTAGCCATGTTCAAATTTGATTGAAATAACATTCAAACATGTTTCAAATAAAATTCCATTGAAAACTTTCTATTTTTCTTTGGACGACCACTCCTAGACTTCACCAATGGAGGTTATAGGACAACTATCTTTATTTCATCTTGAACCTCCTAGGTGTTTTCTTTTTTGACTGGTATGTTTCTAGCATATGCAGTTACTGTACTTCATGTGCATAGAACTTTGAACATAAAATAAAATAACTGGCATCATAGTCTCGAGTTGTTGTAAATGAATGTTAGCATGGGAGGCCCATATGATCGAACTCTCTGCGTGTATGTGTTATCTTCTGCTAATTAAAATCATAATGAAGGTTATTATTAAAGACATGTAGTTTAAATTGACTAATGGGGTAGGCGATAATGCTTTGAGCCTTATTCAGGAGGTTCTGTAGTGCTCATTTAATTTCTCTTGTTAAATAATGTGTTCAGCACAATGTTGCGTCTATTGAAGAATCATTTTTGCATTATGTGTTAAATTTTTTAACAATTTTAACAATTTATTCCCTTGATAGTAGCATTTACTATTATTATATTATTGAAACTCTCAGAAATATGAGTTTTCATCAAGTTGTATCAATTTTCAGAAAATAAAGCATGATCCCACGCTCCAAGCTAACTTCATTCTTAAAATAAGAAATTATGACTACGTTGTTAATATGTTTTTTGTCCAAGTGCTTACAAAACTCAACTCTTCTGTAAACCTTGAAAGTCAAATGATACTCCTTATGATAAGTATTGGTTTAGAACTTTGCTGTGATTTTCATTATCAAATGATGAGTGCAAGCTCTATGATGTACCTCCATAAAAATGGTTGACAAAGCATTGGTATTATTGTTGTGCTCATTAGTGACAAACATCAAGTTCTTCCCGGTGCCTAGTGACTCCCTTAGCCCAGTCATAAAATACAGCTATTACTCTAATTTTATGAGTCAGCAATTGCAAATTCCATAGAATAAATTTAAGTATTGGCATCTTACTCTGGTTGCCATAAGCAAAGTTCCTCCATAGCATATATTCAAAAATGTTTCATCAACACTTAACACTAGACGGCTTGTACATTTCAGTCCTTGAATACAAACATCTAATGAGAAATATATATGTTTGAAATGACCATCATTATCTTGTTGGAGATTAACAATTATCCTTAGATTTTTTTATGTAGCATAATCAAAATTGATAGTTGTTACTGAAAGAATGCTTTAGGGATCCTTTAACATAGATGATAACTTACAGCACAGCCGAGCCTTTTATAGGATAAATCATTGCCGTAGTCTCTCTTAACATTGACATGATTGTCTATGGCTTTATGTTAAGATCAATTGTTATGAGCTTATATTTGATTATATATCCAATGAGTTATGGCTGAGCTTGATTATAATCTTTAGATCTTACTTCCAATGCATAATTTTTTTTAGATATAAGGGTCATTATCTTAAACATATTTGAATTTTCCTCTTTTTTAGGATGCAAGCTTTACGGGTAACGGATGTTCCATTACATTATCTAATTTCTTTACTTTAAATTGAAAGTTTTTTTTTTTGATGGCATATACATGTAATATTCGCCTTAACACCTCTTTACTCTCAAATTTCTATGCAATGTGTAATTCAGTGGCAAACAAAATCAAGCATGATGCTAGTAAATTAGCAGCCATTGAGATCGAGATAATTTCAGGCACTGACCCTTGTAGATTGGGAGTTATTCATGTGTTCTTCATACCTGAAATTATTACTTTTTTCCCCAAGGAAAACTAGTTATTTGCTTGTTTCAAGTTGATCACGAACTAAGTTTGGCATCTCCAATGGACTCTTAAATTTTGAAGCATGTATTGGATCACAATCACTTGCAGCCTACACGTCCATTGTGTGCTGAATTTTTGCATGTGGAGTGTTCACATCATCACCTATTCCTGTAAAAAAATAATAATAATAAAAAATCATCACCTATTCCTGCAAAAGATGATGAATTTATAGATTTTGCATTAGTCTCATTTGTACAAGAAACTATAGTTGAAACGTTTTTAGGACTAGTGGTGACTAGGGGTGTAAGTGAGCCGAGCCGGCTTGAGCTCTGCTCATTTATGGTCTCGCGAGCCGAGCTTGTCGAGCTCACGAGTCGAGCTCGAGATCGAGTTCGAGCTTGTTGAGGCTCAGCTCGTGAGCTCACGAGCCGGCTCGAAATTAGTATTTCGAGCTAATATTTTTAATTATAATATTTTGAGTACACTTAAAAGTAATAAATTAAGTTTTAGAAATATTAAGTTTGACAACAGTATTCTCGACTCGAGCTAATAAATGCTAATTAAAAAAATTAAGTTTTAGAAAATTTAAGTTTAAATCTTCAAAATAAAAAAAATTCAAAAGTTTTCTCTCAATATCAATGCTAATAAATGCTGCAATATTCTTTTCTCCCAAAGCGGCAGCTTTTTCTCTCCACTTGTGCGAAAACCGGGCGGTAAAGCTGGGCTAGAAAACAAAAAATCGGGCGGGAAAACTGGACGAGCAGCTCGATGAGCTCGTTAGTATTGTGAGTCGAGCTCGAACTCCACTTTTGAGCTTGACTCGAGTTCGTGCTCGAGTTCAAGCTCGATATATGGCTCGCGAGTCGAGCTCGAACACCCCCTGACTCGAGCTCGACTCGACTCGTTTACACCCTTAGTGATGACACTTATTGGAGCCCAATATAAGAAAATATCCTCCAAGAAAAATCATGATCATCATCAATAAGTAGGTTAGTTGGAGAAATTGATGGTGCATTACTAAAGTGATGCATTACCTTCAATTCATATTAAATTGTCTCTTATCAACATCTGTCACCTTACATATAAGTTCAGTTAGTATGTTAAGGAAGGTTTTTATCTTTATCTTATATTCTGTGCTCTTCTATTCTGTGCTCTATTTTTTGGTGAGTATCCAACTAAATTGCATGCTTTTTTTTATTCTTGTCTATGCAATATAATAATGTTAATACTTGATTTGCCTATAAAAAATACTTCAACAATTTGCCATTTCATTGTTCTTTGAATATAGATTGAAATTAATTGTACCTTATATAGGTCAAGTTAAAACATTTGTTTAGTTAAGATATGGTTGTACCTTATTCCATGGTTTAAAATTGTGCAATTACATATTGATGCGTTTTTTGTTCATGAGGTGAAGTGTAAGCCTATAAGTGTTTTGAGGCGTAAGCCTCAAAATAAAAAAATTTGTGTAAAATGAATATAAATGTTAAAAGTGATTTTTATATGGTACTCAAATAATATGTTAATGGGTGACATATTTTAGCTTTCTATTGAACTATGAAGTAACACATTGGCATATCTATAAAATAAAAAATTGCACAATACGTAAACTGGCAAGTGATAAATTACATGAAATAGAATTGAATTCCGAATATTAAAAGAGTAAAATAATATTAAATATAGGAATTGTATAAAAATATCATATAAAATCATGTTCAACTCCAAATTTCTTCTTTCTCAATTTCATACTCATCCACATTTAATTCCTAAAGGAAGCCGAAATAATTGGCAACAACTTCAGAAATTATCTGCACTGTCATGATTGAGGGGGTCTTTATTTGAGTCGCCTTCATAACGAATTGGTCTTTCCCTTGCCTCATCCTGTGGAGTCCAAATGCCTTCCAATCTTCTTCATTTATTTTAGTCATATTCTCCTTTCATAAACATTTTTCATAAGATGAGATTCATTCTCTAAAATTTTTAGAGGTGGTGGAGGTGTGCGAATTTCAAGTGATCCCTAGCGGTGGCTACAACGGTAGTAGCTGCGGTGAAGGCAGCAGACTAAAGTTTGAGGTAGTTGAGAGGAAGTTGTTAGAGCTTGGGGTTCATGAATGCATGATTTGTTTGTGGCTTTAGTTTAAGATTTATGTAAGTTTTAATAAAAAAATATATAAATAGGGTGGGAGTAATCCTCACACTAGCTAGGCGGGCCTCAACCAAGCTGAGGCGCATGTCTCATAAAAAATATTCAAGATATTTTTCACTGGAATTATGCTGAGGCGTGCCTCAATGTCTTATTCATCGAACAATGTTCAAATATGGTTTGAATAAAGGTTGAACAACATCCCTTTCAATGCCTTGAGTCATGTTCGATCATAGCTCGAAGGTTAGAACATAATTCATGCCAATGTTTTAATAATTATCACATCACATTCTTTGATCTAGATCTGCATTATATCTTCGTCAAAATGACATAATGGAAACTCAAAAAAAAAAAGTTTTACGTGTATGCGTTAAGTCATTGACAAACGAAAAAAATCTCAAACTTAACCGGCATGGTCCATCATGATCAAAGAAATTTGGACAAAGATGCAACAACTAAGACAACGACAATAAATGAAGAAAGTCGAAGTGGAAAGGGCGTGACGTCTTCTCTTTTTTTTCGCTTGCCCTGTAAAATATGTACTCGTACACAGTGTTGGTATACTACGAATTACTTAGAAAAATATTTTTCATATCTCAGGGGACTACTCCATTTTTAGCCTCACTGTGTTATTATTCTTAATTTTTTTGCAGGGTTTTGAGCCCAGCTGAAATTGATGATTACTTGGCTGAAGTGGAGTAAAGCTGCTCTTTTGTGAGGATCTGACATAGAAACCATGGAGGAAAAAAATTAAATAATTGTTCTCTGTTAAGTGACTTTGATCTTCCAATGTATTGTAAAACCGAAGCCTGAGCAAGCCCAGGAAACTTCTTCTTATCTTCATTTTTCTTGATTATTAGAGCTTGCATTGCTGTGGCACCCCTTATTTTGAATTTATTGTGTTTGGGAAAGATTTTCTTAAAATTATTTTTAGAGTAGATAAACAATATTGCTTTGAATTTGTTACATTTTTCATACCTTTCAGCTAAACTTGTGTCACTATTCATGAAAGTCTGTCATCTCTGTTATATTTTATTAAATTTTGATCGTCAGCATTATATTTAGAATGTTTTATGAATTCTTTTTGCTCTTTCGTTTTGTCCAAGTGTTGCAGCAGGAGGTTAACAATGGTGTAAGTGAGAGTGGATAAATATTGGACTATTAGTCTTGATTAATGAATTTGTTAACTAAATATAATCACTTTTCTGTTAAGAAATGGTGAATTATCATCATTAGACCTGATGCATTCCTAAAATTTGTTCATTATGAATTGTTTTTTTTTTGTTTGATCAATGATGTTATGATCGGGAAATCATATGATAAAGATTCAAGAGAATTGTTCTGGAGAGTTTTAGAAAAGAAATGAGTTAATAATATTTATAATCTAAGTTATTAAAGATATGTATATAAGAGCTGTTACTTGTGTTCAAACATAAAATTGTTTGACTATGTATTTTTCTATTTTAGTTGGATTATATCAAGGATTTGCTTTCAGTGGATGTCTTTTTATTTAAGTTATGGATGTTCTTATTAGGCATTTGTTAGAGGATGTACCTTGGTGTACTTTTTGCTGATGATTTTCCTTGTATTGATAAGAGTAGAGAGGGAGTTGAAGAAAAGCTTGAATTATGGGGGACAATCTTAGAGGTTACTGGTTTTTGTTTGAGTAGAGCTAAATTGAATATATGAAATATAATTTTAATAGTAATAGATCTAGTGGTTGGATTTCGATATTGGTGAAGGAATATATTGCTCGAACTAAAAACAATGAAAGTAGAAATTACAGAGAGTAATTTTTTGAGTAGAAGATTTTTAGAACTTGGGATTTACATATAGAGGTAAAAAAGATAAATTAGTTAGGATTCTTGTGTTGTTGTAAGAGCAGGGAGCGAATGGAGCAGAGAGCAATTGGAGCATCAATCGAATGCCTGAGTGATGGAGGTAAGTAGTCCATAACAAGTTTAGGTCCTTATCATACGTGTTAATAGCCTCCCTCAAATTAATGATCGAGAGATTGGATGGTTAATTTGTGTATGGGGTGTGAAACCAAGTAGTTGAAGGTACATGTTTTGTGAGTATATGTGTGGATTGATCAACTGAGCAGATATGCAACACGTAGATTTTATTTGACTTGATACTTCACTTATAAAGTGATAATTAATTTATGTGTCCTTGTGTGGAAGATCTGATTGTTGGCGAGAGTCATGGCTTATGTATTGTCATAGTAAAGAGAAGTTGTAGTCGGTGGAGCTTAAAATTTAGCCAACAGGCGTCTGAGCCAAATGAAGTTTGATGTGATGAATGTGAGGGCCATGTATTTTGTTTCGGCTGATGATTTTGCTGCATTCACTCACTTCTTGACACACCATGAAATAAGAGCGTGTCTTAGAAAGATGCAAAACCCAGTGATGGACTTTTGATATGATGTATTGGTAGCCCAGTCAAAATCAGAGTAAGTTTGCATATGAAGATTGCCTGGAACAATAGGAAGCTCAAAATGAGCTGTACTTTGAATGTAACGCATCAATCTCTTAAGAGATTGATAGTGTTGTTGGGTAATGCATATGTTGACATATTGAGTTTGTAGCAAAAGCAATATCAGGTCTTGTTATTGTAAGGTTGTGAAGGGAGCCTACTAGCTTATCATAAAGAGCTGAATTACTAAATTGGTGATTAGATTGTAGGCATTTGGGTGGCTTAAGGGACATTGGGGTGAGAGAGGGTTTGTAGGTATCAAAACTAGAGGATGTAAGAATTTATTGTGCATATTGCATTTTATTGAAGAAGTATTTAGTGGAGGTGTGTTGTACATGAATGCTTAGAAAAAGTGATATTGGACCAAGCTCTTTGAGTGGGAAGACTATCTGCAGCTTGGAAATGAGTTTCTATATATTTGGTTGGTGATTGTCAGTTTGAGTGAAAAGACCATTTGAGTAAGTCATCTACTTACTTGAGTAGATAAATTTGAATATTAGTGGTGGAGAAGATTAGCAGGAAGAATCATATTTACTAAATTTGAAACTGAAGCTTAGTAGAAATGAGGTGACTACTTTAAACTACTATATAGGAGACTGTTTTAAACCATATATTGCTTTATGAAGCTTGCAAACATAACCTCGATGTATTAATAAGTGAAGCTTGGTGGTTGTTTCATGTACACATCCTCTTTTAGCTGGCCATGAAGGAATGCCTCCGAGACATCTAGCTGAAAAATCGGCCATTGGTGATGGAGTGTGATAGTAAGAAGCATGTGAATGGTGGGCATCTTTGCTACTAGGCTGAATGTTTCTTTGTAATATATGTCGTACTCTTAATTGAATCCTTGTTCTACTAGTTAAGCTTTGTGATGGTTAATAGTTCCATCGGCATTTAGTTTTGTTTTGTAAGTCCAACGATAACCAGCGGTTGTTTGATGTGTTGCAATGCTAAAAATTCTGTGGACATGACAAACCTCCAAGGTTGATGTTTGAAAATAACATGTGGGAGTTAGAGTGGACTTGTGATGTTGCAATAAGATTGATTATTTGTTTTGATTTTAATTTCTCATTCTTGAATCTTGTTTGCATTGGGTGAGCTGGAGGCATTGATGGAAGATTTATGGTATGCTCTTGTGAGATAAAGTTGTTTGGTTGAGAGGACATTAAAGATGGAATACATATTGTTGATGTGTTAGAAATCGGTGGAGTAGGAGAATATGAAGTGGTGAACTGAGGGTGTAGTTTTAGTTGTGAGAATGGTGGAGATTGGAATTAATGCAAAGGGTGTGTGAGATGTATTTAAAGGTGGTGTGTAAGAGATTGATGAGGTGGAGTTGTATGGAATTGTTTGTTAATGAAAATGTGACGAGAGATGTGAATTTTATTAGTTTGTGGATTGAAGCATCGATATCCTTTATGAGATGTGGAGTAGCCAAGGAAGATTCATTCTTGAGAACGTGGAGAGATTTTGTTGTTGCATAAGTGTTTAAGCTATGTAAAGCACAAATAGTCGAATGTTTTGATATGATCATAGGAGGGTGTATGACCATGGAGTAGTTGAAAGGGAGCTTAAAGCTTACAAGCTTGTGAAGGTAGGTGATTAATGAGGTAAGTAGAGCTTTAGCCCATAACTGGTGAGGTAGATTGGCTACATGTAAAAAAGCGCGGATTGTATCTAATAGGTGATGATGTTTTCTTTTAGTAATCCCATTTTGTTCTGGAGTGTAGGGATAGCTTAGTTGATGTTGTATACTACAAGTGATTAGGAATTCTTGAAAGTTAGGGGATGTGTATTCGCCACCTTCATCTAATCTGATTGTTTTGATTTTAGAGTTGAAGAAATGTTCTGTCATATTAGTGAATTGTTTGAACTCGCGAATTGTTTCATCTTTGCATGGATTAGAAACAACCAACGAAATCGAGAATAATTATCAATGAAAATAACATAATGTCGGTAACCATTGATTAATGGTATCGGGGCAGGACCCGAAACATCCGAGTGAAGAGTTAGAGGGGTAGAACCATGATTTGCACTAGTTTTGAAAAATAACTTGTGACCATAGCCACGTTATATGATGTGCATAAAACTGAAGAAGTAGAGATATGTATGCTTGGATTGGATTGAGCTAATATATATAAGATACATTGTGAATGTACTAAGCGAGCATGCCAACGAGAGGTTGAGTTGAGCTTAGTGTAAAGAGCAGTAATTGAGTGATTGTTGTTGGGAGATATCAGGTATTGTCCATTATGCCTGTGACCACAAAGAAGAACTTGATGATCCTTGATGATTAAACCAACGATATCAAAGGTGATAAAGCAATTATTGTTAGAGGTTATTTTATGTATAGAGAGGAGATTGTGAGTGATAGAAGGTACATGAAGTAGATGATTAAGAAGAAGCTTACGATTGGGATCTAGAAGGGGTAGAATACTTTGACCATCATGTTTAATAGGAAGTGAGTTACCATTTGAAATAGAGATAGAGTCAACACCATGATATTGAAGTATATTTTGCAGGTTGGTAGCATCAGCAGTGAGATGAGTTGAAGCACTAGAGTCAAGATACCAATATGTAGGTAGAGTAGATTGGTTGAGTAGATTGGTTTTGTGTGAACATACCATGAGGAGAAGTAACAATTTGTGAAGTGTATTGAAGGTTGCATCTATATTAGCAGGAGAGAGCGGAATGTCTAAGTTTTTCGCTGATCTGGTAGATTAGGCGTGGATAGTTGGCAAGGTAGGATCCATGGCCAATGGGGTTATTGTTGTTGCGGGAAAATGATTGCTTGGAATTACATCCACGATTGCGGAAAAAGTGATTGAAGTTTGATCTCCTAGAAGAACCACCTTTGGTTGTGTCAAGAGCAATAGTGTCTTGTGGGAGGGATGAGTCTCTTGAAAGTTCGTTATATATGTTGATCTCCTCGCTGCAAGTGCCGATCGGCCTGGACAATTTCCAATCGTCCTGGACGATCCTGAGAGGAAAAATCCAAATCAGAGAGGAACAGTAAGGGAACGAGGTCTCACAACTGATAGGGTTGAGAGAGGTGAGAATGGTTGATTTGAAGGAGTGATATGTTGTGGTTATGCCATTAAGAATGTAGAAGATGATGTCTTATGGATCGATATGAGTGCCTGTTGCAGCAATGTTGTCCACCAATGCATAATTTGAGCAAGGTATTGTGTCATTGAGTTGACTTGCATGTTGATGTGATGAAGTTCATTCTTAAGTTGAATGACATGAGAATGGTTACCGGGTTGAAGTTGTTTCTCAAGAGTGACCCATATTTCATGAACATTGGTTAGATTAAAAATGTAAGGTAGTATAAAGGGAGATATAATGGAGAAGATGGCTGAAACCATGTTTTGGTTGGTGAGATTCCACATATGAAAGTCTGGGTTGGGTGAAGTATTACTGATCAAGGAAGTGATGAGTTTAGGTGGGCAAACTTGTCTGCCAGTTAAGAACTCTTCGAATCCATTTGCAGAAAATAATTTGTAGATTTTAAGCTTCCATATATGATAGTTATCATTGTCAAGTTAAAGGTTAACAATGAACTTGAGATTTGACATAAAAAATTTAAGTGGAGGAGGTATGGTGAAATCCAGCATGGTGGAAGAGAGAGACGAGATAGTTGAGGCTGGTGATGAAGAGATTTGTTTTGCCATTAGATAACAGTAAGAAGGAGCAGTTGTAAAGCATAGCGTTCTGATACTAGGAAGAAATACATTGCAGGAACTAAAGAACATAGATAGTAGAAAATGTAGATACCTGAATTTTCTCTGTGTTAAACTTTTAGATTGGGGTTTACATATAGAGGGGGAGAAGAAAAATTAGTTAGGATTCCTGTGATGCTGTAAGAGGAGCGAATGGAATAGAGAGCAACTAGAGCAGCAGCCGAATGCAGGAGTGATGGAGGTAAGGGGTCCACAACAAGTTTAGGTTCTTATCATACATGTTAACAATTGGGTGATCAAGTTGTTAAAAAGAGTACATGTTTTAAATATCTTTGGTCTATTATTCTGAGTGATGATGAAATTGATAGGGATATTATTAATAAAATTCAAATTGGGTGGTTGAAGTGGAGGAATGCATCCAGCTGCTTGTGTGATAAAAAATAGCTCTCAAATTTATGGAAAAAAATTATAAGATGGTTGTGAGACCTGCAATGTTTTATGGCATAGAATGTTGGCCATTAAAAGAGAAGCAATGAGTTAACTGTTATAGAGAGGAGGATGTTCATATGGATGAGTGGTTTTGCACTTTGAGATGGAATGTGAAACATATATATACATGAAAATATTGGAGTAGCTCCAATGGCACATAAGATAAGAAAGAGTCGCCTCAAATGGTTTGAGCACATAAAATTTGATAACCCTATTAGGAGAGTAGATGTATTAGAGTCAGCCAACGTTGTCGAAGCCATACTCACAAAGTTGCCAAAGCCTTATGACGTCTGTAGCTGTCATGGTGGGAGCTCTATATTCAGCTTCGATTGAGGATCTAGCCATTTTGTTTTGTTTTTGGCATACCACGAGATGAAATGTTATCTCAAGAATGTTTAATAACTTATGATGGATCTATGATTAATGGAATTGCATGTCAAGTCTTAATCAAAATAGGTATTAAATTGTAGTTTGTTACAACGTATATGTACGCCAGAGTGAATCATACATTTGATGTAGTGGAGGAGCCATTTTAGTTGTTGATAATATGAGTTTAGAGGTTGATGCATCAATTGATATAGATGATAGACATCATAAGTATTACAAAGTGCCCATAAGTTATTTGTATTGTATAATATCAGAAAAGTTGGTTGAAGCATCCTATATGACCAACAATTAAATAGATAGAGGATTTTGAATGGAATTGCATGACTCCATTCCAGCTTATTAGAGGACTTCCTTTTCATTTTCAGATTATTTTTATGATCAAGCTAAATTGTTAAAATGTGATTTATATGTCTAAGAAATAGGATAGAGGTCCTAGATTACTCATGGGAAATTTGTCCTATACTTATTGAAGTGTGGAAGAGGTTGATGCATCATTCCTTTTGAGAAGCAAATCTTTTACATAGATTAAGAGATATATAAGTGTAGTAAGTTTGTGATAGACACACAAAGAGGGATCTATCATGCTTATGGAAAACCCCATCTCAAGAAGATAATATGTAAATGTTGAGAACTATTGATAGAGGGCTTGTTTTAAGCCATAGATTGCTTTGCATGGGAGGCAAACATGATGGTGAGAGGTTAAATCAACAAATCCTTGAGGTTAAAGGTTTTCATGTAGAAAGGCCTTAGAGGCATACAATTGTGTAATCTTCTAATTATGATGAATGTCAATGGAGAGAACATGCAAATAGTGGGAATTTTGAAAATTGGATTAAATGCTCAGTGTAGTCTATGGTGTGTTCTTGCTTGTAGCCTTATGTAACAAGCTAGGCTTTGTGTATAACGAACATTTGGTTTCAACTTGGTCTTATATGTCTGATATGTTGGGCGTAGAGGGAGGTGGAATGAGGATCCATGTGGCTTACACTCGAATAGCCCAAAATTATTGAACCACAACTTTCCTCCTTTTGTTTTCCTTTTTTGATAGTAGTAGAGTAGCATACGAGATCTGGAGTGGAGTGAGATGAGTGATATAGAGATAAAATAATTTGTAGCTAAAGATATTCAATTCTTGAGCCTATGTGTAGGCAATGCTGTAAGGAAGATCATTTGGATATGAAATTAAATGGGAGGAGGCTCCTGTATCTAGTAACTTGTTAGTAGGAGTGTGGGGACTGCTTACACGGTGTTAGCAGTTGGCAGCATAATAGCCATGTTTGTTGCAAAATTTACAAGTGAGATTGGGAAAATTATTTTTGCCTCCTATGGATGGTAGATAAGTAGTTTGACCACGGTTGATAGGTTGATTAGGGAGCTTTCCACGGAAAACAGTGGAGGGTCGATACCTTGACCTCGAGGAGTGGTGAGAGCAGACTATGAGTCGGGCTAAGGATTGCCATGTTGGATAGGGGTAGGTTTGATGCCAAGTTGGTTTCCTTGCTACAAAGAAGCAAATAAATATTATCCAAACTAATAGGTCAAAGATTAGTGCGAATGACAGTCTAAAAAGTTTGATAGTTATAGGGAAGTCCATTAATGGTGTAGAGAATGACATCTTCTTGATCAAGTGAGGTGCCTGTAGTAGCAATGATATTGACTTCAGCTTTTATGTCAAAAAGATACCAAGTTATAATAAGGTTCTTCATGGAGATGTTATGAAGATCATTCGCGAGTTTAATAATATTTGACCTATTTGTGAACTATAGCCATTTGTTTTTGGTATTACATTTGGATGAGCATGAATACAAATTAAGGGCATAAGGTAGGAGGTTGGGAGAGAGATAGAGTAAAGAGTTGATGAGAGGTTTTGATTAATTAGTGACCAAATATGGTGATTGGGATTGGGAGAAGATTATTGTCAACGAGCAAGAATTTCATAGGGTAGGGTGTTGATCCATTTAGGTAACATTCAAAGCCATTTGCTTGAAAGAGTTTCAGTACTTGAGATCTTTGCAGTGGCAGAGTCAGAAATTTTTTTAGGGGGGGGGTGTGGGGGGGGGGGGGGGGGCCCAACTTCAAACCTTGATGTACATATACATAGTGTGCAATATATATTGTTGAGAAGACCTGGAAAAGATTACATAACTGCTTAAAATTACAGTTTGATGTATGTTAGGTATAGTAAAAGGTGAATCTGTTGTTAACTTTTTGGTTGATTTCTAAGCCTTGAAAATTTTCTTTCGATTCAGTGCATGGTATGAACTTTAGAATCTTGTTTTAGTAGTTAATTTCTTTAATGTAATTTTTTTAGAGCCTATTCAATTTTACTCATCCAACAATTCCTTAAAAAATAAATATAAGCTAAAACTCATCCCCATAATGATGCGGTGTATTGATAATTATATTATTTTTTGTTTATTATATCATAATATATTGCAAAAGAAAAGTAAAATATAAGCTTGAGAATTGTTGGATGAGTAAAATTTGCTTGAGACGCAATTAATTGTAAAAGTTTCAACTTATGCTTCCCCATATCTTGAAGATGTATGTTTTGGTTTTGAAGGTTCTCATTTTACTTACAACTTCAAGGGGGGTGTTGATGGGACGTTCTCCCCTAGGCCCCCCTCTCTCTCCGCCACTGGATCTTTGTATGGGATGAGTGGTGGTGATGAGTTGGGTGCTAATAACATTCTTCATTTTAGAAATGAGAAATTTTAATTTATTCGAAATAGGAGTGTCCCTCATTTTGAGTAGGGAACTATTGTCATTCAAAATAGTAGAAGAAAGCGAAAAATCTATATGTTATAAAAAATTGGAGTTATTACTTTGTAGCTTACATAGCTTTAATGCCAAGGAAAAAGATTGAAAAGTAAGGGAAAGTACATGAATATGTAAAGACAAAAAGAGATGAGAAAGGTAAATCAATATTTTATCAAAATATCTATTACATTAGATAAATTTATAGCTATATGTAAAGGCTAGCTATTAGAGTTTGTTACAAATTAATGATTATTTTTTTAAGACATTTGAGTCAATTAATACAAACTCACACAAAGTAATGATTGTAATGAAATAATGACGTTTTGGTTTGAACCATAGAGAGGTTGAAGGCTGGCGGTGTAGGAATAGCCTTTTGGACTGTAGCTGGAACATGTGGATTGTTATGTTTATCATAATGCACTCTAAAATTGCTCCTATGCCAAGTGTTCCATGGTTCCATGCCATACTTCTAGGACATGCTCAACATAGTTTTGTTCTCTCGCTCTTGCCTTCAAAACACCATCATTGAAAAAATCATGGCTTTTCAATGACCAATTCAATACCAACATAATAAATTTTTTCTACTATGAGAGTGAGAGGGAATTATTGAAAGAAAGAATACAGATAGAGTTTTTCGAATGAATTATGCAAAATCTCAAATTGTTGATCATAAGCTCTTCTGAGAAGTCTTTTTTGTTGGGCCTCATCATTGTCCATTATACGAACTTCATCTATTATCTAAAAATGGATATCCACAAGAAGCTATATTCAATATATTAACTCTAATTTTAATAGTATATTTTATCCTCATCATATTACTTTTACTAACATGAAATTCTTTGTCATAAAAGAGATACTAATATTTGTTGATATTTGTAGATGATTGAACCAACCTTCTTTCACTTTACTCTTTCATAAATTTGGGCCTTTAATAAGAAGAGCTTTAATCTAACCTTTATATAAGAAGCCCAAAAACTCCAGAATTAAATGGTGTCGAGCCCCAAGCACGACAGCCTTTCCTGTGTGCAAATACAGGCTCGACAAATTCTCAAGAAATCGCTTCAGTTTTCTACTACTTCCGATTCCTCCTTTCCCTATCTCGCTGCCCCTGTCGATCTCGGTTTCTCGAAAAGTAGGGTCGTCACGGGAAGATCAACATTCCGGCAGTCAGCAGAAATCTATCGCGCCGAGACAAATGGAGTCATGGTCTTCGGCGACGCAGCCCAGGCCACCCGAAATGTGGGATTCGATGCTTCCTGGCCCCGCGAACCGTAGCAATGGCGGTGCCGCCGACTGCAGCCCTGCTGGGCTTCTTGCCTACGGCGCTGGTAGCTCTGTCGTGGTCGTCGACCCCCGATCCATGCAGCTTATCTCTGTACTCCCTATGCCCTCCACTTCCAATCAATCCTCTGCTTCCATGACCGCTCTCAACTCTGCCCTCGTCCTCGCCCCCTTCGTCACGTCCGTCCGATGGAGCTCCCAACCGGTCTCCCGCGAGCTATCCACCGACGATGACCCGTCCAACTCCCACCTCCGTCTTGCCGTCGGCGACCGACAGGGCCGCATCGCTATCTGGGACTTCCGATCCCGCTCAATCGTCCTCTGGTTTGAGCTCGACCACTCCTCTTATGGAGACCGCCCCAAGCTAGGTATCCAAGATCTCTGCTGGGTCAGGTCGGACTCCTGGCTGGTTGCTGCCATTCATGGCGCCTCCCTCCTCGTTCTATGGAACGCAGCCTCCGGTCGCTGCCTCTGGAAGTACGACACAACGCCGGAGTACCTTGTGTGCATTCGGCGCGATCCATTTGACTGGCGGCACTTCTGCGTGCTCGGCCTCCGCGGATTCTTGCTCTCGGCCATCGTGCAAGGGGAGGACAATGGCGACGTGTCTATTCAGGAACATCAGATCCCTGTAGTGCGGGACTCTGTCGAGCTTCAGAAGAATGAAAGAGAGTCCTCCGCGGGGTCATCAACTCCGGCATTGGCAGCCTTCCCCCAGTTCTTTGCGAAGTTGTGTTTCTCTCCGAGATGGAGGCACGTTGTCATGGTGACGTTCCCAAAGGAGCTCATTGTGTTTGATCTTCAGTACCGGGCGTCGCTGTCCTCTGCTCCGTTACCTCGTGGGTGCAGCAAGTTCATGGACCTGCTGCCTGATCCGGACATTGATCTACTCTACTGTGTTCATCTGGATGGTAAACTCAGCATATGGAAGCGCAAAGAGTAAGGCTGGAGACCTGTTTAACAAATTTATTTGTCACAATTTTTTGGTTGCTTGAGAATTTTGCCATCAATTAGGCATATATAACATAATAACTGTTACTTTGTTTATTATTATATGGTGCTTAATAATGCTTCTTTGTCTACTAGTATCTTCGAGGCATCTCTTTAAATTAGCCACCCAATTTTAAACTTTCTAGTTCTATCCTTATATGCATCCCTACTATTTATAATAGTTCTAGAATATTTAAAATATGGAACTTAGGTATGACTTGAAGGTCAATTGTTATCAGCAAGTCATTATTTTTTCGGGTTCATCAAGTTGTATGCTATTTTCTAAGACTTTGATATTCTTGTTGGAAGCTATTTGTGCTCTTAATTGTTTTTATTTGTTCATGTAATCAAAATTAGTCTCAGCTATATATTAATACTATGCTGTTTGTGAATAAAATACACAGGGATACCCAATTTGATTATCCATTTTAAGTGCATCCATGACCATTTTGAATATATGTTCTTAATTGATTGGGAATATTTGGACTAAATTATTGTGGTTAAAATTTCTTTAGTTACTTCACATCCATTTACAAGATTACTTTTGAATATGTGACGTAAACTTTAGTTTATTTCTAATATTTTCTAACCAAGTCTTTCTTGATCTACCTCTACCTGTCTTAACATAGGTATAATCTAATACATCTATTTCGAATCTTGTCTCAAGCCTTTATCCCACTACATGGGATCAGCTACATGAATCCTTTTTCTCCATTGTGTCCTATTAAGAGTCAAAGTCTCATTTAGATATAATAAAGAAAGGTCATTTCTAATATTTTCTAACCAAGTCTTTTTAGATCTACCTCTGTCTTTCTTAACATAGGTCAAATCTAATACATCTACTCTCCTAACGGGGTCATTGGAAGGCTGCCATTTTATGTGACCAAACCATCTAAGGCGGCTTTCTCTAATCTTATTTGCCATTGGAGCTACTCCAACCTTCTCACGTATATGCTCATCCATCTGAGCATCCTCATATCTGCAACACTTAGCTTAATATTATGCTTCTCTTTTAATGGCCAACATTCTGCGCCATAAAGCATTGCAGGTCTAACTACCATCTTATAGATTTTCCCCTTAAGTTTGAGTGATACCTTTCTATCACACAACAAGCTTGATGCATTCCTCTACTTCAACCATCCAACAGAGCTTTTTATTTTTGATCTTTTCTAGTACATTTTGAATCCACCACAAACTATTTTTACTATTTGAAACTTTTTATTTTGATACGATGGGCACATCCTTTGTAACATTCTTTATATTACAAGCTTCTATTTCCCACATTATTAGCTTCCTCATGCACCGACAAAATCTTAAGATCGTGAATCTTACTCTCAAAGATATTTTTGGTTATAGTTCTTTAAATGCCATAATCTAATCCTAGAACAATGATATACTATATTTTTCATATTCTCCCTTCATCTTAAAGTTCAAAACTAATAAGCGATGTTGGGTGCATAAACTTTCACTTGGAATAATTTTACAATCTTTGCAACGATTTATTTTTCTTACAAGAAAATAATCAATATATGAGTTTTACTATATCCATTCTCATAAGCGATGAGATGCTCATATCTTTTCTTAAATAAGGTATTAGCAACAAAATCATAAGCTAGAGTAAAATTTAATATAGTCTTACTATCTTCATTAGTCGTTCCAAACTCATAGCTACCATGAATGCTTTTAAAATCCTCTACATCTCTAGCAATATGTCCATTTAAATCTCCTCTAATAAAACCTCCTTTTTCAAAAAGTATTTTTTGCATTAATTCTTCTAAGTCATTACAAAATTTTAATTTTGAATACATATCCAAACTTACTTGAAGAGCATAAACACTTATATTATTAATAATCTTATAATCAACAATAATCTTCAAAGCTATAATTCTATTCGCCAATGATGTGGGAACCCTTGCCTATTTAACACTGCATATGGGCGTCGATGCAGCGGCCCTTGCACACTTCTTACTGTATTTAGGCAATATAGCGCGTCGCTTACAGGGAACGTCTTAGTATTAACACAATGTATTAAATGATTTATGTCATGATTATTCGACAAGTTTCACGTTGACTGTCGACTGCCTCACACAACCCTTCATTTTTCTCATCTAAGACTTGGGACTGGCAATGACAATATATATAATATATATATATATATATATATATATATATATATATATATATATATTATATTTAAGTATTTACATTTATAAATATTTATATCTATTTGTTAAATAGAATAAAAACATATACATAAAAATTTGTACATTAAAATTATGAGCGCGTGACATAGGGGTTTGTCAAGTGTTGAAGATGTTTATAGAAAGCAAGGAAAAGATGGAATCTATAATAAATGGGATATAAATAGTTTAGAATGAAAATGTTGTTTTGATTTTATGTGAAAAATGGTCATGTCATCCAAGAAGTGTCTAAATAGTGCCAAATATTCATAAAAACAAAAAACATAATTGTGCTAATTGACATTTTTTTTGCACAGTACTCGAGGCATTCATCTCTCAAGTATTAAACACAACATAAACCCTCTTTGAGTGCAATGTTTCATAGATGTTAATCTTATTGAGGGTACATTTTTTTTAAATCTTATTGAGGGTACATAAATTGCTTTTACGTGCTAAATAGGGATTGAGTAGGAAAATTTTTTAATAGGTTCACATAAACTATTTTAATTAGTTGGAGGGTGTTACTATTTAAATATCAAATAATGGGCTTATTAATTTATATATCTATTATATATACAAACATTAAAAATTGGGTTGGAGTGGGTGGATGTGCCTCCTTATAATCCCTTATATTGAGGGGATGTGCCTCTTCCCTTAGCCTTAAATTATAGCTGTCTTTATAAGGAAATTCATTCCATTCCAAAACTTGCAATATCTATTATATAAAATTTTGTTTAGCAGATCATGGAAATCGAATGGTTGTCTCTAATTTCATGAAAGATGGCAAAGAAGAACGTATTAATAAGTAGTTTTCAGTCTGTGGGTTGTGAAATTACAGCCAATCTGGTAGGATATTTGAAACAGCAGCAAAAAAGTATCAAACTCTTCACAAACCAAACTAGCTATATTGATGTAAGTCTATTTTGGAATCTGACTTAATAGTTGTTGACTTGTTTTTACCATATTTTGTTGGCTGTTAAGCTCACTCTATTGTTGGCTGTTAAGCTCACTCTATTTTGAGCATCCCATTGCTTTATGGTTAAGCCTTTTTGAATTAATGCTACTCCAATTGGTCTAATATCCTTTGTTATATTTGGTTGCATGCTGCTCCCATGTGAGTTACTAAGATGAGTAAACTCTAACAAACTTCCTACATGCATTGAATGATGCTTTCTTAGATGATATTGGGCAATATAAAAACTAAGTTTTTTGTATTATTTTCTTGTGAAAAAAAAAACTTTTGGTGATGCAGTTGGCAAGATTGGGATAATTTGTATAATTCATGCTCGCTCTATCTCTTTGTGCATGGCTACATTCTTTTGTACTCTCATACATGGTATTTCTCTTTCTTTTCCGGCCTCATAATTTGTGCGGTCTCCAACTGCAGAGGAGAACAGGTGCATATGCTACATACAATGGAAGAATTAATGCCCTCCATTGGCACTTCTATTCCTTCCCCTGGAGTTCTTACTGTTGTTCTCTGCCAATCAGAATCTGCTTTTCAGAATGTTGGCCAGCTTTGCGCTAATTCATCTTTCACATCTTCAGTTGTCGACTCTTTGCCATCTTTAAATTTACTTGGCGGGATGGATGTTGTTGCAAGGACGACAGTGATCTCCATCTCTGATGATGGTAAAATCTGGAATTGGCTTCTGACTTCTGAGAAGGCTAGAAGTATTGGGTTGGCTACCTTAAATTTGAACAGTACTGCTGATGCTGTAGAAGGGTCCCTTCTGGATACACATTCTGGAACAACTAGTACTTATTCTACAAAGGTCAATTGTTAATTTTTTTGGGAAGATTATTTATTTCTCTGTTCTTAATTTTTTTACCATTTCTTCTTCTCAGTCATTGTAGAACCAGAGCATGCCAACCATATCTAATGAACTCCACGTGTTCAATCGTTTCATCTTATCTCTTATGTTTTTATTGTTACATTATGTAACATCTTTTGCATTTTTTTCTCCCTGACATTCACGACAGTACTCCAAATATCACACCTTTTCAACCTGGAAACTTAAAAACTAGATATTGTTCCTGATGTTGTTGCCTTTGAACCTTGTATGGATTGATTGTGCTTTCCATGTAACTTTTATAGTTAGATATTTATATTTCTATATTAATCAGGGTTTTAGATAGGTGGAAGGAGGTAGGTTTGGTCTAGCAAAATCAGAATTTTAAATGTTTTCACCTGTGATTATTAATTAGTAAAAGGAAAGCATAAACTAGGATTTTCTGTCTGCTTGTCACTATTCCTTATATCCTTTGTACTTTTGGCAGTTATCCTTCACTTATATGGTTTCTCCATACTGTTATGATTTCACTCAAGTTTTTCTTGACCAGATGAAGCCAAAGTAGGGTAGGCTTTTTATTGCATATGTTAAACTGTACATATGTAACTCATTGTCTTATAGGTTTTTTGGCCTTTCAAATTTCATATAAATCTGTCTCCTCCAACTTTGTTCAATCCAGAGGCATTATTGGCTTGGTGGACATGAAAATAGTGAATGAGAGTAATTGCTGGTTAATGCTAACTCTCTATCTGCTCTTAGAAAACTTAAATATGGCACCTAAATGGTTCTTCATGCTTGTTTTTTTTTTTCACTCCTTAATAGTTGATCAACTTTCAAAAGTAAATTAGCTCTTTGGTTTGTGGGATATCTTGTCTTTCCTTTTGTTGAGTTTGGTGTTATTATTTTTTTTTCTGAACCATCCTGTGGTTAAAAAAATGTTTTTGCACTTACTCTTTTCCCAGGTCCTTGTGATAATATTGTGCTCGGTAAATTTTCTAAATTTACTTTGGTTCCAATTGTAACTACATTTTGGAAGGAGTTTGATGAACTTTTGTAAAAATTATCTAAGGGACTTGCATGCAAAAATGGGATGTTTCCATACTTGTCAATGGTGAATGGCACACCATGGCGCAAAGTTCCCCGTGGAGCCATGGTGCATAGCCCATGGCACGGTACACGCCATTTTAAACATGACACACACCATAAAATAATTATATATAAATATATTTATATTTATATATATATAATACTATTAAATAACAAATAATAGGTTGGAAGGGGGGGGGGGGGAGGGGTTAAAAATATTTTGTGTTTTAATTTTGGTGAGTTTCTTTATCTGTACTAAAAATCAGCTCATTAATGAGCTACTTCTTCTTTTTCAGCTCATTAATGCAATTAATTAGATTCATTTCCCCTTGCTTTTGACTCTTTGGTTTCTTCTTGTGTCTCTTTGGTTTCTTCTTTATGAATAAAAAAATGGCTCTTGGGATTTCTCCTTGGCTATTTTCCCGAGAGTCTCTTCCCCTTCCCCTTGTCTTCTCGGTTTTCTCTTGGGCTGCTTGCTGTTTTCGGTTTCTGCTGGCTGTTGCTATTCCCATGGTCACTCTCTCTCGGTTTCACCTCTCTTGGCTGTTTTCCCGTGAAGTGCTGCCCTTTTTCCTGTGCTGGCTCTTTGGGTCCCTTGTTGGTTGGGCTTCTTGTGGCTACTGGTTGGGTTTTTTGTGGCTTCTCTCCCTGTTCTATGCAGAATTTTGCTGGCTGTTATGTGTCTTTTGGCCTTTCCTCTTCCCCTTGGCTGATTTGTTTGATTGAGAATTTTAGGTGTCTGTTTGGCTGCCATTTTCTTCTATAAATAGGAGATGTTTTGTATGAATAAAGAGTTGGTTATGTGCTGATTTTTGGAAAGAAACTTGAGGGTTTTCTTGGATAACTTGCGAGCTATGCCATTTCTTCCTCTCATCGTCTAGGAAAGCTTGCGAGCTTCTCCTCCATTTCTTCTCGGCTTCTAACCTATTTCTTCTATCCGCAAGCTCGACGTCACCTGTATCCTTCTTATCAAGAAAAACAAGTTTAGGTATTTGTATTTGACTATTTGTGTCAAGTTTGTAAGCATCTTTTGTTGTAAGTGTCATTTTTATATTATAAAAGTGTTTTTTGAGTATTTTCTGATCCTAGGAAGAGTAATTCTCTTGATCACAAAAATTTGGGGCCCTTCCCAAATTTTTTCTTGCATCAATTTTGATGGGCCGAACCAAGCAAATAATGCCGTATGTGCGCCTCGCCGCACTGTGTGCCATGATGTGCGCCGTTTTGTGCCATGATGTATGACATTTTGTGCCATTGACATGTATGAATGTTTCGGAGACAATCTTGATGGAATAAGGGATTAGAGAGAGCGGGCTTTGGATAAATCTATACTAGATTTTGTAGTTGAAATGCTATCTCAATAGCAAACACACTTCAAAGTGGAAAAAAACTTCAAAAAAATTGATCCAATTCATTCTAAATAGCTTATTTGCACATAAGCAAGGGCATTCATTATTAAAGATTGTGAAAAAAAGTGAATAACGTAATGTTGCATAAAAAAATCCGAACTCTAGGGCCTATTTTGCATAAATTTTTTTATTTACTTTCTTTTTAAATAAACATGTTAATGAGAGAATAAAGTAAGTTTGGTAGTTTGTTTTTATTTTTTATTTTAGAAACTATTGATTATTTAAAGATAAAAAACTTAAATCAAGTTTTAGGTGTTTTAGATACTTTTCAAGACAAATTTTTATTGCAACCCAACTCCTAACTCCCAACTTCCGACTCTTGACCCATTGACTTCCTACTCTCGACCTTGACTTCTTAAACCTAAGATCGTACTCCTGACTCCTAACATTTGTTCTCTATGTAGACCGCATATCCTAGAGTAGGTTGATGATGGCTATCAGTCGGTTGCAATTTTGATGTTGTATCAACTTCCAACTCCTGACGCTCGACTTCCGACTCTCGAACTCTGACTTCTAAATCGAAACCCTACTCCTGACTCCTAGATTTGTTCCTTATGTAGATCCTATATCCCAGAGTAGGTTGATGATGGTTATTAGTCGGTAGCAATTTTGATCTCGGAGTAAGCCAATGGTGGCGATATATTGGTGTTTGTTTTGATATTTTTGAAGTTTGTTGTGGTTGAGCGTAACCTCTGGTGCTAGATTCAATAGGTTGGTGGGTAGGATTTTGACTCGCTCATGCCACCAATAGCCCATGCCAACAACGGTCTATTGAAACCTTGTGTCAAACTCTGATGGTGGCTTGTTGATATTTGATGGCAGATATAAAGATGGGTCAAGATGAAATAGAGCTCAGATGGAAGAAAATGATAGCTTGTTTGTGTTGCCACTGACAAGAGATTATGATAACAAGAGAGAAGCACGGTCGATGGTGGAAGCGATCGATATATAGCAGAGTATTGGTATCCAAATCACTATAAATTAGTTGTTTGACTTGTGAATTTTGTATTTAAGCAAGCATTTAGTGCCATTATTTAGATGGTAATTTTAATTATTATAATTATATGTGATTATTATTTATGAGCCCATGTGTCAGGATGAAGGGAATTGAAGGCAATGTAGGTGTTGTATACCACCAATGTGGAGGAGGTAATGGTGAACAAGGCGAAGGAGATGTTCACACTGTCAAATTTGAAGGTGACAATGGAGATTTTGCATGGGGTCCTCTTACAAAACTGCGATAGGGAACAAACTACTAGATTTATTTATGAAAATGGTAAATGCATAAGAATCCTGATTTTTTTTTTAAATTTCATGTTAGAAATTAAATTTAATAAAAAAATCCCAAATATCTCCTAAATTTATTCAAAATTTGACTTGAATTTCAAGTAGATTTCGAGTTTTATCCAACATGCTTGAATATACCTAAAGTTTGCTTGAAATGAGTGGGTGTATAGACACTCACACACACAATCATAGACATTTATACATTCAACTAAATAAATATCAATTTCAAGTAAGGTGTTTGATGGACAGGCTGATTTGATTGGGATGGAATTAGGAAGTTTCCCAATCAAGAGAGCTGTTTAAGAATGTTCTTAATCAAATGAGATTAATTATGAGATGTTTCCTAATTGAAGAGGGCATATTTGGGAGCTGATTTAGATGAGATTAATTAGAAAATATTTTCTAATTAAAGAGGGTAGATTTGGGGGCTGAATAATTAGGAAATATTTTCTAGTTGAAAAGTGCATATTTGCGACTGATTTGGAGGGGATTAATTAGTAAATGTTTCCTAATTTAAGAGGGCAGATTTGGGGGCTTATTTGAGGTTTGATTTGGGACGGAAATAATTAAGAAAATAGGAGGGAATTAGGGGAGGACTGATTGGGTATTTGGTGTTTATTGTTTGCTTTAAGTAATTGATTTTCCTAGGGTTAGGGATATGTGTTGGTTGCTGAAATTAGATTGTTTTTAGGGTGTTTGGGCTCTAGCCGGTGGTTAGCGATTTGGGAGAGTCAGATATTTCTCTCCAATTGAAGATTCACTTGTATCTTCTCTTTTCTTTCATAAAAATTTCAATAAAAAAGTATTATTATGTATTCTATTCTTGATTTTCTTTTCGTTGGTTTTTCTGAAAGTGCTAAAATCAGATTTCATCTGAGGCTTCTCCTAAATTTTTGCTAGCTCTTTCTATCAAATTGATATCAGAGCGCTTTTTTGGAACCTATGGTGGCAAGAAAAGTTGATGCCTTGGAAGAGCTTCTCAAAGAAAAAGTTGGCTAACTCAAATCGGCGTTTGAGGACAAAATGTTATCAATAGAGGAAAATTTTTCCAACCTAGAAGGAATGATGAAGGTGTTGGATCTTCTTGTCAAAGGACGTTATCAGCATCAACAACATTCAATTCCTGTAAAGCAGAACTATCAACAAAGCATAAACAAATTTGCTAGAGTAGTTGAATCTGATGCACGCTTTTGTTTAATA